CCCACATCCATATCCCACATCCATATCCCGCATCCATATCCCACATCCATATCCCACATCCATATCCCACATCCATATCCCACACCCATATCCCACACCTATATCCCACATCCATATCCCATATCCATGCCCCACATCCATACCCCGCATCCATATCCCACATCCATATCCCACACCCATCTCCCACATCCATCTCCCACATCCATATCCTTATCCCTTATCCCACATCCATACCCTCATCCCACATCCATATCCCCCATCCATATCCCACACCCCTATCCATATTCCACAGCAATATCCCGGATCCATGTCCCACATCCATATCCCCCACCCATATCCCACACCCATGCCCCACATCCACATCCGTACCCATGTCCACACCCATACCCGTAGCCGTATCCGTATCCATATCCGCATCCCTATCCATACCCATAGTCACCCAACACCAACGCGCAGCACTTTTTTCATTTTTGAGGATGTTTAAGACGCGCGCTTTTTTCTGTGTTCTTTCGTCGCTGAGTAGTTTTTTCTATTTTTCATACCTCAAGCCTTTTTTAACGTCTAGAAAGATAGCAGAAACCTCGAGCGAAGCCCCAAAAGTCTAGTGCGAACATTCTGACATAATGCGAACATTCTGACATTAGAGGATGAAGAGGAGTCCATTTATACTATCAATAATACAGGCGGGGCGATATAAGTTGTAGCTACTTGGTGTGGGTCGTACGTATACGATCAAGATTAAAGCTATCTTTCGACTTTGCGTTGGCGACACAAAAGTTTTGGTTATTCATTTACGATGTCGCTTTTATTGTAGCTGTAGTGCTGTGCTTCCTTTTTCCCTGAAGATCCACCCATAGGGATGATGTAGGAGTGAGTGTAATCAACTTGTTGTTGTACTCGATCCACCGACCTTGGTATAAGTTTTATTGTTGAAGAATAAACAACAATTTCAAAAATACGATTATGTTTATGAATTGAGTCGAGCTACTAGTCGCTGGATGCATTTGCATATTCACCGACTTAATAAGAACTCGTGATAAGCGCCTAATATCGTCCACCTCCGCGCTTGTTGTTGCATGATTTATCTCGTGATAAGCGCCTAATATCGTCCACCTCCGCGCTTGTTGTTCCATGATTTATTCTCGCGAGCAGCCTGCAGCAGTTCCGGACTAGGCTCCTGCTCTGCCTTTTTCATCGTCATCACAATAAATTGCGCAGCCCACAAGTCACCCGGCAGCAAATACGAGATGGCAACTCCTGTTTTACCCGCACGACCTAGAGAGTTTGTTGTATTTTCGAAATGACTGTTGTAGTAAAGAAGTAGAAGTCATCTCTGAGATACCACACAAAGTCATCTCTGAGATACCACACACAAGTTTGTTGTGTACTTGCTAGAAGTTAGTTCTAAGATACAAGTGAGTCAGTTATTTCTCAGATACAATGTGGAAAGTAGACTTCTTCTTACTACAAGTACAAGCAATAGCAAATTTGTTGTATTTTAGAAATGGCCTCTAGTTCTACTTCTAGATTTATTTAACTCGATTTAGCGAGTTACTCCTTCTAAATACCAGTTCGCCCGATTCTGTGTGTATGCGTCTCCACATCATCAGCGGGATCGTAGAGGATTACATGCGATACCCCCTTAATGTCGAGACCTCGGCTCGCAACGTCAGTGGCGAAAAGCACGCGAGCTACGCCAGCGCGAAAATCTGCTAAGGCTTTCTCACGTGTCCACTGATCGAGATCGCCGTGGATACAACTCTGGTAGAGAAGCGTTGGGATGAGAAAAATGAATTCCATCGAAATATCGCCCACTCTTCTCGAACAAATCGTTGCGCAACTACTTGATGTTGGAACTCCGTCAGAACAACATTATATATAAATATTACCAAAAAAAATGACAGAAAACCATCTACAATTATGCCTAGACCTAGGCTAGAGACAAATATACTGCAATAATGGTGTAAAAAATGTCCAATACTGCCTCACAGTGCCATCCGTTGAATTTCTCCGTAAGCGCGTTGCAGGAGTTCTTTGATTTGCAGAAGATGAGGAACTTGTACTCGTGATTTGGATTCGCTTTCTTCTTCTCGAATTCCTCGTAAATGAGCTGGCAAATCTTGTCGTCTTTCTCCGTTTATTAGAAAGCTGTTACTGTAACACTAAGTGTCACTAACATTAAGAGGACACACAATACAATCCAATACAATGCAACGCCATACTTATGGAGTGGAATGTTGCCCAGATCAGTACTCCGAAACTGTCGACGGGACTATTTAATACCGTGCTTCACTTCCAAGGAAGGGCTCGATATTAATACGAAGGAGAGTTATGGAATGAACACAACTAAGACATACAATACAACACAATACAACTAACCTTGCACAGTTTTCAGTGCAGACTGCCGCGCGGCGTCATGCGAGAATTGATTACTCTGTTGATGCACTCAGAACTGACCACTACATTGATTTGCTCCATCATCGTCAAATTCAGAACTTCCACACGCCTTAACTCACGTTATCCGGGAATTCCACACGCTGCTCAATGTTCTTGTTTCCGGTCAGCGAATCAGTAGAACCGATCGCAACATGGATAGCGTCATCGAACAGAAAGCAGTTGCTCATCGCAGCCACGCCAGGCGGAAATGTCGCGGAAAACAGCAGAAGAAATGAAAGGCGAAAGTAAGTGGCGTGTCAGTGAATGGTGGTGGTGGCGGGGTTAACATAGCTGGCAATTAGTCACTTTAAGAGAGAAACGGCTGAAGCTGTTCTAGTTCAATCTTCATAAACTTTGTCGGCTCTCGGGAATACTTGCGATGACATCTTGGATTTGCCACTCAAAACCCATGTCCAGCATGCGATCGGCTTCGTCTAGAACTACACTGAAAACCTTCTCCACCTGTGATGATGTTGAGGTTGAGGACTATAATGTATCTATGTATAAGCAAGGTGAAAGTGACAAAAATTTTGCTTTTCTTTTAAGCACGAAACGCGTATCAAGCCACATCCAAGAAAATCAAGATCCAGTACAGAGTAGATGAAATCGATTGAAGACCAAATGCGATCCAGTACAGACTTTACAGAATTGCTTTACGTGCAGCTCGCGCTTTTCTTTCATGTCGTTGATGCGGCCTGGGCATCCGACAAGGATGTGAGCCCGCTTGTTCAACTCGTAGAGTTGCTCGCGTCGGTTTTTGTCACCGCTTGAATTAGAAATAGATCCTCACTCGTCTACATCAATACTCTAGTGGGAGGGTGGCTCTCTAGAAAATAGTGGATTTTGTTGATCAAGGATAAAAAGATTATGTTGCCCAATGATCAGACAAAATTATAAATATAAGTAACCGCTGGTACTCATACACTTTCATCAAGGATTTCAGTCATAACATACGCCACCGCCGACCGGATTCCCGCAGGGTCGCCAAACCGCTTGGTCTCGTCGTAGATCTGTTTGGAGAGCTCGCGTGTTGGCGCGAGGACAACAACCCAGGGCTCCGCTCGTCCGATTTTGTCTCCGCCCTCGTCAAACATCTGCTGCTTCACTTGCACAAACAACGGAAGCAAAAAAGCTAGAGTCTTGCCAGACCTCATTGATTTTGATTTTGGAGATGCTGGTTCATCGACGTTATAATATTGCGATTTTCATTCTTGAGATCATGAAATAACACGCTATTCATTACCCCGTCTGCGCCACTCCGATGAGATCTTCTTTCCGCATGAGGATTGGCCACACGACGCTTTGAATAGTCGTTGGGCGTTCGAACTTTGCTCCATCCGAAAGTAGTCGGATAAGATCCTCAGGTAGCTTCTTGGGATCTTCGCAAATTTTAGAGCTCAGGACAAGCTGTTAGGCGCAAGCAGGGTTGACGGTGCTACACTGACTGCGCTAAGATCATGATGATTACGGAGATGCAGTTAGTCATTATCCCAGCAGGTATATCAGATAGAAATAACAAGTTTTAGTTGTGCAACTGAGTAGTCTGATGATTCTTTCAACTTTGCGTTTCCATGTCAAACAACACACCTCACCCCAGCATCCATAGCATTTGGATCGTAGCAGTCCTCCCACCGGGTCCACCTAGGAATTTCACCCGCTGGCATTTTCTCTTTGCCTCTCAACATCCTCACTTCTTCATCGCAGACCTCGACTTCGGCATCCAGATCAACGTCCGTTGTAAACTCGATCATCGGCTTCTTGTCCTTATCGTAGTGCTCTCTTCTGTCCCAACAAGGTTAGAGAGTAAAGCAAGATGAAGATCAGTAGGCCGAAGTGAAGGACAAACCAAACGATAAGGGTAGGACATGCGACCGTGACAACTAAGTAGTTGTTGTAAGTTTGTGAAAACATCATGATGGACTGCTGCCTTAATGAAAAGCAAACACAAAGAGGACTTAGTAATTATACTATAACTGTGGCTCTTTGAAGATCTTCAAAAATGCCAGGCGCAGGCCATAATCACTCCTCCTGTTGCCGTCGCCTCGCTGTGGATGCCAGTTGTCATCATTGGCCCTATTCAGATCCGGGGAGCCAGATGATGAACCAGCTGTCGTAGAGGCAGACTGAGCCGGTGACACGACCTGCTTTTGTCCAGAACTTGCAGGGATGTTAGAGCCGGAGGACAGGAATTAGGTACTTAGCTAGTTCTAGTGACCTCTTCATTTTCCTTTCCATTTCAGGGTCAAGCACGTAGAGGCAACCAACGACCTCTACTTCGTTCTCTGACTACAACAAGCCTTAAAAATTTCGCTTTTCTTCTTCCAGGTTGACCATCTTCCATTTTCCTTTTGATACCAATCCACCTCTACCCAATCTTCGTCGTTGTCGTCCCATGAACTCTTATCGTTGTAGCCTGGCATCTTGCGGCACGCACTTCTTGCCAAAGGAAGGAGAAAGACGAATGAATATTTTGATGGTCTTTCTTTCTCCTCGTTATATCAAGAATCAGCTATTTAATGGTTTAGATTTCGTTCTTGTTTCTACTAGACTGTAGCTGCATTCGCGTTACCGTTACCCAAGCCTCGCTACTTCTAAAAATATCAATCTATTTCTCCAAGACCAAGACCAAGTACTACGTCAAAACCAATGCGAAGCTAAATTAGCCAATAACTGCTTCTATGAGTAGAGCTAGAGGCTGTGGCTGATGTGAAGAGCTAATAACCTTTTTGCTATCACGATAGGCGAGAGAGGTGTCAAGGTGAGAGTGGATAGAGTAGAACTTCTAAACGTTCCGGTTGATGATGATGTAATCTCCCAAGTCATGAGTCGTAGGAGGACCACGGGCTATGTTACAAAAACGGGCTAAAATCACATGCACAAGATCTGCATCAGCACGTACTGCCACCTAAGGCGATCGAGGTTTCAGAATCACCACTCAGATCGTGCTGTCCTTGTCAGCATGTGGACAGAACCAGATGAGGATCAACCATCTACTTCGGCACTTGCAAGCTGTGTTGTTGCAACAAGAGATCTTCCACATGAGCATCCTCTTCAAGGTCAACACAAGGGAGTGTCGTGCGAGCAGTACAAACCAAGCACGTTAACAGTTCGAACAAGTAGAGTTCTTCTGAATATAGAAATGAACACTAACACAAATGCCGCGGCCCGCGAGCAAGGATTGTCTTGCAACCCGTCACATCGTCATTTCTGCGGTCTTAGTTACCTCAATCAGGCAGGTCAGAGGCAAAAGAGCAGTATATTTTTTTAGGATTCAGCGTTCTATTATAGATGTACGACTGAGTCCACAGATCAGGAAGAATTGCGTATTACGTTACCCGTTGTGTTCGTTTTTGGAAACATACAAAGTTGAAAGAAGTCGGTTATTCTTACGTTGACCTGCAAAAGCGTCCAAACAAAACAAAGGTCCACTTCATCTTCACAGGTCGTTGTACATTTTTTGCAATACAACTACATGGTTTCATCTTACTCTTTTATTTAGTCATAGTCGCTATGTATATGTGTCGTGTAAGTAATAAATGTCAGCAGGAACACAGTAATGTTGACGTCAAACTCAAACATCTTTCGGCAATATTCGTATGTGGTCTTTGCGAAAGTAAACCAGCAAAAGAACCAACACCCATGTAACAGCACTTGCGATCATGGCACAATGAATGGTCTTCCCAGTCAATCTCCTTGGATCAATGCAGTAAACAAAGTACGTCGCTCCAAGTGCGAATACGAAAACAGTGACTGCCGCAAGCACATGCGCGTATTGGGCAGTGGTTTTGCAACGCTCCAGGTCGGATGTTAGAGGAGTGGAGATAGAAGACAGACGTGATCTGGAAGCTGTGGAAGTGGACGTGGAAGTGGATGATTTTGGTTTTTATTTTTAAGTACTTCGAGATGAGTGTTGACAGTGAGCTCGAGCAGAACACCAATTGTCAAAGTTGTACACTCAAGCAGACTCATGATCTTAGGAATTCGAATTATTCACTTAGAAATGTTCTTGGTGCTACATGTGAATGTACAAGTACATAGCTTAAAATTCATCGTCGTCCATAGCTTAAAATACAGAAACCTTTCCGGAAAGCGATGAGTTGTTCCTATGCCGTTCATCAGTTGGTCCAGGTGGTCTTGCTTGTCCTGCATCTCCGAGATCAGGTCGCTCATTACCTCATCAATCATCCATAGGGATGAGCCACTAGACCTTGGAACTGAGACTTTCGAGGTCGAGGATGAGCGTCTTGCAATGGCTGCATTTAGTCCTCCAACTTGGTCGTAGTCATCTTGGTCCCCTACGCGATCATGTTGCTGATCAGAGTCATACAATTGACCCTGCTCTCGATGAACCACACCTGCCTTGGGAGTTGAAGAGGTCTTTTTCTTGACTGCAAGAGAGGCATCATCCTCCTCATCTCCATGATCCTCTCCATTTCCATTTTGCATCATGAATTTTGCCGTACTCCTAGAGCAGTTCAACGAGGGAGTGCTTCTTGTCCTAGATCTCGAAGATTTCCTCATGGCGGAGCTGCTAGAGTTTTTTCGTTCGACAGTGTCGTCATAATGGTCATAGAAGGTGCCCTCAGCATGATCGACTACATTGTCATCTTCTAGTATCTGATCCATCAATTGGAATTGGTCTCCACCTTCTGGAACTCCCATCGCATGAGCCCCTAGTTGTAGATTTCCTGTGGGGTCCTCAGCTCTACCACTTCCACCTAAGGATCCCGCTTTTCTCAAATATGCCAAAACAGGCTGCGGTATGCTGGGAACGCCAAAGTAGAGGATGTCGAAAACGAAGACCACGATCCACAGCACAAAGGATAGGTATCTCAAAGTCCACAGAAATTGGATCAAGGTCATGTCTCTTCGCAAAATAGCGCTAAAAGTTCCCTCTATCGCTAGAATCCACTGGCAGAAGCCGCACAGGCCTAAGATGCAGAGGATAAGTGGCGAGGGGCGTGGTGAGGGAAGGGTAGTTGTAGATGAGAAAGCACCTGACGAGGATGAAGCTGCTGCAGCATTTTGATTGTTCACTGCGAAAGCTGCCGCTGCTTGTTGCTGACTCGTTTTTCGAAAACTGCTTCCACGTGCGCAATCGGAACACGAGGAGCTCATAGACGTCGATATTCTAGCTCTACTCGCGTGCATCAAGGCCAACGACACCCGTTTCCGCCGCAGCTGCTCCATTGTGGGTGACTTGTTGTCTTCTGATACCGATAAAGTCGAAGAGGTTTGCCGCGGAATCAGCTTGAGTTAGAACTCTCCGAAATTCATCTTTCAAGAAGTGCATGATCCACTTGAAAAGTATCTATAATGGGGGGGGTACTCGTAATCGTATTCGTATTCCCTTGTAATACTCCGTCATACGACGTTTCAAGGATGAAGTCAAACTTTGGATTAAGATGATGCATTAGCTACAGCCTTAATTGAGCTTGTTGTGATCGTCTACGTCTTTGTTCTTGTCAAGATTTTTCCTTGATCTCGTTGACGAGTCACCTGCTCCTGACACGACTGGTGGTCTTCGCCCATTCCTTTGATATCCAACCGGACTACTTTTCCTTCCCCGACTAGCCACTCTCGCAGCATTCCTTGATTCCCTGAACATCTCTTCTTCATGGAAGTCGTCGTAGATGTGATCGTGGCCGCGACGACCACGCGCCAGATGTTCCAGCACATGCTCCGGACTGAACAGGCTTGGCACCACCGCTAAACTTAGCGCAACATCACCCGTTTCGTCATCAGAACCTGCGGTGTAATGACTACATCGTTGCGGATTTGATGTAGCCTGCTCTTGCCCACCACCTAAAAAATCTCTACCTCCTTCATGACCTCCCGTTCCTCCTGAAAACAGGTTGCCAAACATCCTCCTATCATGATCTCCAGTGCTGTTCCGAGGACCTCCTCCTCCTCCACGTCGCGTGGGGGGTGAAGATATCTTCTTCCCACGTCGTCCACGTTTCTCACTACGGCAACAGCAGCCTCCACACAGCAGTGGGCCACAGCAGCAACATAGATAGTTCTTCAGCAGAAAAGGATCGCCCTTGTAGATGCTTCGAATGACCATGTAGCAGCAAACGAACCACGCATACCATAGGAGAAAAACGTGCTGACTCACGATGTATTGCAGACGATCGATCTTGGTCAGTGATGTTGCAGACGCTCTACTCGCTGGTGCTCTACCTCCTCCAGCAAATCCTTGCTGATGTTGACCTGAGGATCCAGCAAATCCTTGCTGATGTTGACCTGAGGACGCTGAGGCCCATGCTCCACTTCTACTCCTTCTGATCAACATACTCTGTTGCTGCTGCCCATCTTCTCCGTTCATCAGTAAATCGTTGTAGTCATCCATCCCCATCATTTCTGCCAAGCCACCTGACGATACGAAGTCGGCTTTCGCAATTATCCACTCTTCAAAATTCTGTAGTAAAGAGGAGGAAGAGGATTCTACTCCTGGTGGCCCTTGATGTACAGCGCTGGCGGGTAGAGGATCCCTTGATGATGATGCGCCGGGCTCTTCGTTCAATCCGCTGGCGGGTACAGGATGGCTACTTGATGATGATGCGCCGGGCTCTTCGTTCAATCCGCTGGCGGGTACAGGATGGCTACTTGATGATGATGCGCCGGGCTCTTCGTTCAATCCGCTGGCGGGTACAGGATGGCTACTTGATGATGATGCGCCGGGCTCTTCGTTCGATCCTGAATGTTGAAGATGAAGGCCACTAGTACTTGTTCCACCAGTAGTACTACCAGCAGAATCTTCTTGATGCAGCAGAGATTGTAGTGGTTGAAAATGAACATGATTTTGAACCGCGAAAGACCTCGTTCCGCTATTCAACCGAGGACGTTGCAAACATGTCCTCTCTATGTAGGGTGCCGCGAAAGATGAGTGCACGAAATCTGGACCCCAACGTTTCATGCCTTGAACTGTCATCACTGCGCCCAAGCAATGAGCTGCCCACAAAAGACCAATAAACAGGGCATTCCAATCAAGGAAAACCAATCTGCGAGGAATAGGTGCTTCATTTTGTCGTTGCGATGTCGACGTGGTAGACAAGTCTGCTTGGCTACTCCTTCTCGCAGCGACACAAACACTATTTCGCTCCCCGCCGAACACTGCGACATCTAGTTTGACATCTTCATTTATGTGGTGATCTCGGCCAGCATGATCCTGCACAACTCGTTGATTCTCACAAACCGCTGTGTCGGTCAATGCTAGTTCCATAGATTTAGATGGCCGCTTAACAGCTGCATTCGCCGTAGGAGGCAGTGGTATAGTGCCAGCCAGTGGTGAATCCTCACGCTCTCTCCGCTTTGAGTTAGTCGTAGGCACCTTTGAGGACGCCGCATTCGCACCGCCTGGAGCTCCTGTCGTGCTAGCGACAGTAGTCGTTGCGCTAGGATCGGTCTGTGAGTGTGTTCCGTCCTCCTTCTTGTCCACTGACTTGTTGTTCCGATTTCCAAAGCGCACGACCAGGAGAAACACCAGAGTCACCGAGCCCAGACACAGAGACAGCGAGGTCTTGGGATCAAAGAGAATATATCTCGGAACGCGGTTCGAGGTGTAGCACTCATATAGCAGGTCTCCACGGCCCGCCTTCTCGACTAGAGGCACGATCAAGCAGGTGCCAGTGAAGATTAAGGCGAACCAGTGACTCAAAGTGATGCGCAACATGATCCTTTGGTAGTGCTCCTGTTCTTTGTGTTTAGGCGGAATAGGTGAAGGCCGTATGATCCTTGTTCTTGTTGGTTACTCTCTGTATTTACACGCATCGTTGTTCTTCTTTGAAAGAGGCCGTCTGATTGAGAACGACGGAGAAATAAAGCTTCTAGCATGTACCTAACTATTATTTGAAAGAAATGTCTCAAGGTCAACACATCTGGTGCTGCGCTTGCCACACCGTCGCTGGTGCACCGAATTAAGGAGCTATGTGAAGAAGACCGACGCTTGCAAGCCTTTGGTGATACGCGTCTCTCGCATCCGTGAAATTGCAGTAGAAGTTTTCATCAGATCTTGGGTGCTGCAAGTCGTGCATCAAATGAACACTCCCTAGAACTCGAAGTACTTATACTTTCGAAAATAACAATAATTACCCTCTGCTTTCGCCGCCTGCAGCTGCCAGCACTGTGCACGATCGGAGGGACATTGAATATGCGAGCGAATACAAAAAATATCTATGATCATGATGTATTGTATATACCTTTGCCTTTTTCTTTCTTTCCTAAGTAGCTTGGCTCCACCACAAAAATGATCATGATGATGTAATATTCGTATTGACATCAACATTTTTGCCTTCCCTGTCTATTCTACGTAGTCGTCGTCCACCCGTTCGAGGTACTGCTATTGCATCTAAAGAGTGTGTCTGTGTGGATCGAAACCAAGTAAGTAACTCTGCAAAGTTGGTTCTGGCGCGTCAACGAACTTCTACTACAATAAAGGTCTTCGCAATGATCTTTGTTCTTCAACATCTTAATTTTTTCCATTTGAAAACCAGTAGCTGCTATTACTTCAACGAAAGTCGGCGCAACTCTATGATACAGGCATTTTTGTCCTCCGGAAAATTAGAGTACATGTTATATGTTTATGATGTGCCCATTACCATGCGTAAACTCAAAGTCGAAGTAGAATCAGAAAAATGCATTGAGGTGTTTCATTTATTGTCGTTGGTAGGTATTACAAAGAAATTGAAAAAATCATCAGCTTCTATTGCGCATGAGCATGAGCTGCGTTCTGGCGTTTCCAAAATCGGCCTCTCGCCGATGCCACCGTGTCGAACTTCTGCTAGTTGACATTCTCCTCTCGACGGTCGGTGTTTCGTGAGGGGCGACACTTTCCTGCTACTTACAGGCGGATACCGCTCGCCCCCCTGGTAGAAGTAGCATGTCGCTAATTTGCGACACCAGGTGAAAAAATTCCTTTCGCCGTTGTCGAGATGATCATCGCTTCGCCTTCACGGTGGCTTTGATCACTCCTAATCCTTTGAGCGTGGCCTGTAGTGTCGGGAAAAACGTAGCCTTTGCTCGAAAAGTTTCGTTGGGCCACAAGAGGCGACTCGCCGCAAAAGGTCGTGGTAGACTCGAAGACGCCTTCAGGCGGCAAATGCGCTCCGATGTGCGACGTGGGTGAAACAAGCAGTTTTCTACGTCCTAGTCTAAGAGGTAGGTGTCCACCGCGAGCGATCCCCCGATGTTGGTGTGCAACATGTGTTAAAAGTTGTAGCAACGAGCAGCAGCGCTCTGTAGTTGTCCTTCAGAAGAACTACAAAGTGCTAGTTCTTCTTGCAGTGGGGAGGCCAACATCGCAGTGGGGGTCCATCCTCATCGGAATCGATCAGCATGATTAGCTACAAATAATTCTCAGAACCAATTATTATACAGTTGGGAGACTCATGATCTTCATGCCGACCACCACTTGACGAGGACCTTCCAGAGAACAGCGTGGGAATGCCGATGAGTTTCTTCTGGACGACGAGAAGTCGTAAGGGGTGAAAAAAAGACAAATTTATTTGTCCGCCGGATTGGGACGCAGGCGAGTGAGTGAGATGAAGTTGTAGTTGATGGTGTAGGTCGTTCTACAACTAGTTCAGATCATCATTCGACATGCTCTTCGTAGCGCCAAAAATCGAGTCCAAAGTCGGTTTAGTCGATGTCGTCGCCCATAGAGTATTCGCGTGTTGCAGAGGGTTGTTGTTCGGATTGCCCAGATTGTTCTTGTTGCCAGCATTGCCATTGTTGATACTGAAGCTGATGTTGTTGTTCCCATGATTTGCATTATTTGCAGCATTGTCCATTTTCATCAAATTTTTAGCTTGTTCTTCTCCGCGTAGGCGATGAAACAACGCAAAAAGCAGAGACCTGACGTCAGCCGGTGTCTCAACGCGGTACTTGGCACAGCTCTTGCCCGGACCAACTTTCACGGACACAAACTTCGGAGGCAAAACGTTCTGATTGCTCCCCTGTTGGAAGATGCTATCCGCTCTCAGCTCGAACATGGTTTCATCGGTAACATCGTCGCCAGCACAGAAAACAACACTCCTTTTCTTGTTCTTTTTCGACGACGGCGATGTGGTTAGATCGGCCCAGAATTTCTGGATCAGACTTCGCATGCAAGACCCCTTCGAAGGGCCTCCTGGACCAAAGACCTCAATCATCTTGTTGCCTCTCGAAACGCGCTCCATAGGAAAACCGGATAATTCCAGTAACTGTAAAAGCATCTCGACGCCCTCTTCACCGTCACCGGGTTTGCACTGTGTAATTGGATGGTTTGTCGGATTAGGAACTGTTTAAGTCAAAGCTGCTAGGAGATAACTAGGACCTAAAAGATATGCCTATGGTGCGAACAAAAATTTAACAAGCAATAGTACCGCTCGATAATGCCACACCAAGCTTTTCGTCTTCTCTTCCACAAAGCTGCCGACTACATGCGACAGCTTCTTCATTTGCTCATACACGCCTTCTCGCCAGTCCTGTTGTTCTCCCTGCTGGCTTTGCGGCGCTGCAGGATGTCCACCTTCGCCTAGTACACTACTGTTGTGGTTGATGTCTAAGCTTGCAGAAGTGGTCGTGTTAGCATGTTGTTGGAAGTGGTGATGATTGTACTCCCACTCGCCCTCATACGCATGCCTGACCTGAAATCCATGCTCTGCCACTAGCGTGATGGCTTGGTGCTGCTTGCCGATGTAGTTCTCCAAAAAATCTGCGCTGCGACCGGATATGATGACGACCTGCGATATATAAATATATGACATAACGACGAAATCACCGCAGTTGTCGTAGAGAATACTAAATGAAATGATAAGTTGTAGAACTACGATTATACGATTATGTCCTCCTCCTCTCACACCTCTAATTTACTTTCATTAGGGGGGGTACCTTCAGCCTCTCCCGCAAACTGCAGAGTACCTGCAACAAGTAATTGAGATTATCTGTTGGCACTGCCGCAAGTGGGTCGTCCTCAAACTCGCGCAATGTTCCGTCGTAATCTAAGAAAAGCAGAGCATTCTGAAACAAGAACTGCTGCTCTTCTGAAACTTCTTCTTCTGTTGGCGAAGTCGGCAATTCCGCTATGGCGTTTTTATCGGAGGGCTGTAGTAATGTCCTCATTTTCGAGGCTGTAATGTCCCCCGTTTTTATATGATCTGGAATAGCCCCAAAGATATCCAAACAGAGAGCCGCATCGAACTCGGTGTCCGCATCTCGTTTTTGAATTACGTGATCTAGTACAACGTCGTGTGGCGGCAATTCGAGCAACTTCGGTGATTGAGGCTGATTAGCTGAAGGTATGGGATTATCGTTGTAATCGGAACCACGAAGGCCACTGTTATTTCTGTTGCTTCCATGCTACTTCTCCTACTTTTTCGTCCTATTGCTTACTAGTACAACCAAAAATACCAAACCAAGTAGACAACACCAAGTATACACAGTTAGTACAACTAGTAGTACCTTGACTCAAATCTTCGCCACCACCAGTTCGTTCTGTCGAAAGCATTCGCTTCAATTCTTGTTCTAACAAAAAGTTCGGAGATCCTTTGCTAGGTGTTACAAGAAGATGCTGCTGCTCCGGAGACGAGTGATCCGATGAAGCTATTCCACCATGAGACGACGTTGTTTCTACTAGAAAGCTGAAACCAGCATTGTTACTACTTCTACTGCCTCCATGCTGAGCATTGTGGTTTAACTTTAATGCTACTGCTCCATGACCATTCCCTGTAGTTTTACCTGAAATGGAGTCCCCAGTCGTGCCATGCTGATACAGAAGATGTTCTGTAGAGGACCCATGCTGACGCGTACCTGAGATGAATCCTTCTGGCGGAATAACGACCTTGCTCAACCCACCACCTCCTGTTTGGTTGTACTGATACTGTTCATGCTGTTGGCTCAGATAGGGGTCCAGAAATTCCTCACAGGTAGAACTGCTAGTAGTGGCAGATTCGGCACGCTCCTCCACATCGATCGGAAGCTCGATGCCTCCGACACAAAATTGCTCATCATCGTCCATGATGATCAGACTCCTCTAGCTCTACGAGAACAACTAGGGCTACAACGAATACAAGACTTCTAGGACTACCTTCATCAACTCGATGACCACGCCCAGCACTATTACAGCAGAGGTCCTCGCCATCATAATCCAAATCCTCTTTTTTCTGTATTATGCCTCATCTTCTTGTGGAAGTGGTACTCTGGTGGTTGCGGTCACTGTCGAGTGCCATAATTTTGCCGACCAGAATGAACACCACAAAATCATTTCGAGGAGAACAAGTAGTGTGCGGGTAGTCGTAGTGCCCACTTGTTGGGAGAAGTTCTACTTGTTGAATTTCAAGCATGAAAATAAATCACAAAAGGTACAAGATGTTCATAAAGGAGGCTCAGCATAGCCATACTCCTGTGTCCACAGTTTATTTGCTCTTGAACTTCTTCAGTCATTTTTTGCGTCAGCATCAATTTGAAGACGACCCTTCTTGAAGATGGTGCCCATATTCTTTCGTGATCGTCTGCTTCTGACAACGTTTCTTACGTAAGAAACCATCACCGCATGGTCCATAGAAAATGACGGTCCCAGATAACGACTCAAATAAGGTCTATGCTGTTCTAAGAATGAATGTCACTTTTCCAGATTACAAGCTCAGCAAAAATGCTTTAGATATTCTGTGGCAGTGACTGTGCAACGGAAAATGTGCAATTCCATCCCCATCAACCACGTGCTGTAGTTGGTCTTATTACTTCATTTTCATTTCTTGCTTAAAATTTTTTAGAAATGGTGAAGAAGAAGAAGATAGAGAGTTTAAAAAGCAAGCATGGTGCGGTTGCTATGCCTACTTTCTTCATCCGCTGAGCATTATGCTGTTACTGCTTAGGCTTACAGAAAGTTATGCCTAGTACCAATATCTTGGATGAAGCTCAGCAGCCTCGTCTCAGTCAATCAATCAGGTTGCCTCCACAGGACACCGTTTTTTTTTTTTTTTGTAGTCCAAGAACGCCGGAAGGGTGATCCCAGTTTTATCCAGTTCGCAAACCGGCGGCAGGTGGAGTCCGGTTACCTCCTTATATTACTGCACCGACATCCCCGCAGCTGCGACAGCCGCACCTCTCGTCCTACAAAGGTTGCGTAATATAGTCAGGTGTTACTGTGCAAAAGCGAGGAGGTGAAGCTAACGTATCGGCAGGAGCACCATACAACGATGCTTTTGAGATATAATTTTGAAATCTTAGCGACGAGATGATGCTAATTTTCTGTTCATGCTAAAGCTAGACAGCATGGAACTTTCTAGGAAAACATTGAGATTCTGTCTCGAAGAAAATAATGCATGATATCATGGAATGATCTACCTGACTATCACTCTGACATCATACTCCAATCTCTTTAACTTCTTATCTCTGACTATGAATACCTAGAGCCTTTTCTACACGTTTCCTTCGCGACACTTGAAGAAGAAATGCGACTTCGTAATCGACGATCCGTCTTCTTCTAATTTTATTTACTATCGCTCTATTAGCCTTTTCATTTTCGACACGATGAAAGAGAAGATGAAGATTCGACAACAAACTACATAAGTCATCGATTAAAACATTTTTACACGGACTACAAACATTACATTTACAGGAACGTCAACGACTTCTGATGACAACTGATATCGACGTTATTTTTTACGAGAACATGATGTAAGTAGTTACAATCCATGTTCTTGCACTTGGTGTTCCAGAACTAGAGAAGTACTAAAACTAAGTAGTTACTAACTTGCTGCATCATGCGATGCATTTCTATGGGGAGCCCCACCGAACTATCCAATCAAAAAAGTGACAGAATCAAACTTCAGATATCTCTAAAAAAACGGAATCGAAAAAAGTCAAATTGTCATAAGCCCACGAAGCAGTGCTTCAGGGCTGGGCTATATGTGTTACTTAATGAAAGATTAATTGAAATAAAAATATAAATATTGCTCAAAAGATTATCAACATCAACATGTTATCTTCATGAAAGTACAAGTACATAATAATTCTGATGTTTGTTTCCATGACCCAGCCACAGCAGCAACAGACAGCATGAATCTTCTCAGAATTCTAATGGTTTTTTTGGTGCTACAGCATGAGCATGAAGTTTCGTACTCGTGTTCTTGTTCTATTTCTAGTTGTTCAAGTTGAAGTTCAAGTTCTACCACTCCATTATAATGATTTCGTCAGTTCTATATCGTTTGCTTTCCTCTTATGCCACATGGTCCATTTCGTCCTCTTCGATGTGCCAAGCTGGCTTATCCTCCGCAAAAGTAGGCGGTGCCTTCATCTGTCCTAAAATCGCGCCAGTGAAGCATCCACTGCTGATGCTGATCGCGAGAGTAAGAGCCAATGCTGCAGCTTGGTAAGCTCCCTGGCCTGCCGCAGTACGGTCGTCGTCCTTCATTGCAGAAAAAATGTCATGCAGTTTGTCGCCAATGATTAGAACGGAGTGAGGTCAGTTGCGTTATTTCTGTTTCTGAATCGATTCGTTCTACACGTCGAGAAAATGAAAACCTACAACTTACACTTATTCAAAATATTACCATCCAAGAACGTGAAGAACTTGAACTACAACCAAGAGGCTGACGAGTTACCGAGCAGCACGTGAACATCAATACAAGAAACACGAAAAGCCATAAGTAAACACTCTCACTTGCCGTTGCTGCCGAAATCGCACCGCCCAGGCCTCCCATAATGCCGGGAATTCCGTGCAAATTTAGCACACCACAGGTGTCATGCAACCCAAGCTTGCGTTCAAGCATGGGAGAGATGTACACGTAACCACACACCGAAACCGCGCCAGCCAGAAAGCCGATCATCAACGCGCTCCAAGGGTCAATGACCAAATCTGCAGAGGACCCAACTGCGACACCACCAGCTAGCGTTGCATTCTGGATGTCCACCATGTCGAGTTTGTGGCCTGGTCGAAGCAAACGGCTGAAAATGAACGCACCCACGCAGCTGTTGGTCAAGGACAGAACGGTGTTGATCACAACGCGATGTTGTTGATTGCCGACTGCAAGAGCGCCATTGAAAGAGGGCCAGAACATCCACAAGAAAAGCGTTCCGATCATCGCGAACATGTCCGAGGTTTTGGTGCTTCCGAACAACTCCATCTCGTTACTTTGGTCGTTTCTTAGAAATGAACTAGATGAATTACAGCTTTGGTTACATTGATTACCGATACCGATGTAGATGTAGTTCTTCTACTTAATCATATATTGTTTTTTTCTTTTGGTCATCTATTTCTCATTGTTATATTCGTTTATAACATTCTAATTCTGGAACGACTACAAGGTGACGTAACTTCGCCGGCTCACTAGTCGGCACTGGAAACAGTCGGTTTGCGTAGGATTGCTTTCGAGCCAACATGAAGCTTACTCCCAGACCAAAAAATGCACCAAATGTGTGTACGTACATCGATCCTCCCATGTCAACCGCTGACCACTCAACGGCACCGATATGCTCGTTCACCGCATAAAAAATGATCTCCAACCACATCATGACCACCAATTGAGGCTTTGGACAGACAAGTCGATCTTGTGGCTGAAGTCTTGTTCGAAGACCCTGTGAACTAGACCGACCATCAGAATCGCGTATTGAATCGTCAATGCCGCCAAGCAGAAGTTATACGCCACCGAAGAAAATCCGTACTTCTTCAAAAACGTCATCAGAAACCCGAACCCGATGAAGATCATGACGTGGACGTCCTGGTAAAGCGGATAGTACTGGGACATTCCTGGCACGGTCACGCTATCTGCAGCAGAGTTAGAGCTCACCCTAGTGGATCCATCTCGAGACGCATCCTAAGTGCCTTTTATTTCCCTTGAAAAGCCTCCTGAGGATGCTTCGGAAGATGGACGATGAGGGGAAGCCTTAAAAGAAACGCTGGCTTTTTCGCCGTAGGTCGTCCACAACCCATAACAAGCGATAATACAAACCTCATAAAATGCGAGAAAAAGACATTGCCGAACGGCAGATGCGGATGACTCCCCATGGCCACCAGCGCCGGCCTCGGGCGCTACAATTTGGTCGTGAGCACCCATTTTTATTGTTACTCTATTTGTATTTTTTTGTTGGAAACAAATACTAGATCTACTTTGCTGGTAGTTTTATTTGATAGCTGAGAAAGAAAATAGTTGGAGGTTCTAACTAAACGATAACGAATAACATATACAAAACCGACTACAACTGAACGCCCTATTGATAGCGTAGAAACGAAGAAGATAAAGGCATGAAAGTCTATCTCTATTTGAAAATGTCATGTCATGCTACCTCATGTTCCATCCTGTCAAATGGATTTGAAAATGTTGACTATGCGCATGCTGCAACTAACAAGAATTAGTGCGACCAGAACGCTGTAGTTACTATTCAACTGCAGTAGAATAACACCACAGTGAGTACTTCCTTCTAAATATCACTTTTCTGATAGGGGCGGAAGAGTATACGCGACATCCGGGAACTTGAGCGAAGTTGTTCGATCGGGCAGATAGTTCGTATTAAGGAGTAAAGAATTCCGAGGAAGTGGTCACACTCATGTCGGCTCTCGATCTCGTAAAGAAGTGTTTTCGATAAGCGTAAACATCTGACGATTTGAGACGATAGACGAATTCACTTTTCTCTACTTTCCTAGGAGACGTAGCCTTATCTCGGATCTGATTTGACAGAGCACACATTGAATGTAGTAAAGCAACTCTCATGAACAAGACCACGGAAAGCACATATACACGGCAAGCAACGCAAATTACCTCGTCGTCCTCGCAGAGCGAAATTTATTTGGGTCCTATAATTCATATTTTTTTACCGACCTAGATAATATGAAAAACCGAAAATTATCTTTTCTTTCCCTACATGCAAGCCATATGGATTACAATCTCTCTCTCCCTTTCTCTCTTCGTCTTTTTCGTCTTCCGTCTTCATTCCCCTCATAGGAAATGATTGCAAGAAGCATCGCCATAGGGTCTGAGATTCTCTTATGAAATTTCTATTCTTTGACTATCAGAACTTGGAAAAACGTCATGCAAAGAGGTCTTTGCTCAGTTAGCTGAGCAATTTTATGCAACACAGTAGCCGGTATTGGTAATCAGAAATATCATGCAAAGACCCTACTGATCTTCAGTGCTACTTACTAGAATACTATCGATTCAAAAATGCAATTGAGAAGTCATGCAATCCGTGTTCATGTCCGTCCCGGTCCCCCTCAATTCAGTTTCAGATTCACAAAAGTCCTTCATAAATCCTCCTTCGACTGGCCAATGCTTCTTGCTTGCACAAAATCTTCCGCTTCTTTTCCCTTATGTTCACTTGAAAGACGTCTCGGATCTCCCTCATGCGGCAAACATTGGTACTCACAGCTGAAATGAACGAATCCATCTCCAGCAGTGCAACTTGCAGCATGTGATGTTCGTCCACAAGCAGTCTTTGGCAGTTGGATCGAAGAGCAGTGCAAACAACGACGTTCTTCTCTTTAAAGGTCGAAATTCGTTGGTCACTGATGCTGAAGGGACGACGAAGCCCCTTAGAGAGGAGCTCCCGCCTTTTCCCTTAATAGGTTTCCCCTGTTGGTTCTCTTAGGGGGTCTCCTCTTTGATGTCAGAGACCAACCCCAATGAGGGCTAATGAAAGTTGATCCTTAATTTCTAGTTTCCTCAAATTCCGGTTCTCCAGTTCTAGATCGGCTTGTCTAGCTTCCTCATTGGAGAGAACTTTCAGCGGTGCTCCACGATCGAAGAAGGCTGATGTTGAAGTAGATGAAGATACATCAGGAGCAGCCAAACCACCGGTTGAAGAAGTAGTCCTCGCATGATTACCACTGGGATCAACAACATCTTCGTTGTTCTTTTTCAAGATGCCTCTTGTAGTCCTACCTGTAGTCGGAGGAACAGCAGTTCCTGTTGCATAACCAGCACCAACACCAGCACCACTTTCAGTGGAGCCACTAGCTGTGCCACTCTTCGTACTGTTACGCTGATGCGAAGATGATGTTGCAGATGACATCTTCCTCGCATAATTCGAGATACCAGGAGCACCTCCGAAGTCTGATGCTGATCCTCTTCGAGGACCCGAAGAATCGCTGCCTTCGAGTAAAGTGGGTCTGCGACTACCACTTGCACTGCCTCTTCTCTTAAGACGGTCTGAAGCAGTTGCGGCATACGCAGAAGTGCCGCAGTCTAGCGTTGTGGCTTGCATGCTGGCGCGGTTTACCTGAGAAGATGAGATGAACCGATGATGTAAGTGAATTTGTACGCTTAATACTAGACGGTGATTTTTACTAGTTGTATAGTTTGTGGGAAACTTCTGCTCCTGAAAACTGCTAATTCAAATTTCTACTGTCAGTGGTAGCTTTTTACCTGCTGTAAACTGAGTCGTCGCAGATTTTCGCCGACAATGGATGCGTTTCGGTTTTGGAGCGTGTTTGTATCCGTCTCCTTATTCCCTGTTGCTTTAGGTGCTAGAGACTCAGCAGTTACAAGAGCAAGAGGCTGAGAAGTGGTGGTGTTGTAAAAATGTGATCCACTAGCTTTAGCGTTGAAAAAATCATATTCCAGTCTGCCACAATAGGTACAGGATGTTTTTGTGACTCTAAGTTCTACACTCACAGAAAACTATACCTTCGTCACTGCCCCTTTAGTCGCACCTGGCGGAAGCGGTGATTTTTTCGGGAGAACAGAGGCGTGAGTTTCGAATTCCGATGCTATGGCTTTGGTCCATATCTGTGCGCACATATGCGTTTTCTGTGCGACTATGAAACGGAGTGGTTATGAACAGGAATTAAGGAAAAGTGGTAGCTTTTCGAGAATCTAGACTCCCGCAAAAACGATGTTATACTATAAGGAGGGTCTTCATGACGTGGTCCAGCGTGTGCATGATGCGCAAAAAGTTGTACTACGCATGTCTATGTCTTCTACCTACACGTAAATATCGGTGGAGCACGCCTAACTAGGAAACAAAAATACAAAAGAATCAAGTAAATACAAACAATCACAACTACACCTACAGGTAAATACAAACAATCACAACTACAACAACATCCCCACCATAAAATACAGCGCCAAATCGATCCGTTGCAATTCCAAGTCCTTCAAAACCTGCAATTCGGCCTCTACCTTAGTAGCAAAAGTGACTGCTTCTCGCTCCAAGATTCCTAATTCGTCCAGCAACTCCGCTATTTCGGCCTCCTCGCCGTCGTTGCGGGCCTCTACTGTTCCTTCTTCCTCGAGCAAACGCTGTGAGATCGGCACCCACCATTTCTCGACAAGTCGTGGTTCGGAAGAATGTGGCGCGGTAGACGATGCGGCGGGAGAGAGCATGGCGTTTTGGTTTGATGTCTCTGTACTTGAAAGTGGGAATGCTTACGCACAGGAGGCTGATTTCTTTTTCTTCCGAAGGGCGTGAGGAGGGATTCCTCTTAATGCTTATTGTCTAGTAGTTCAAAGCCGTTAATGAACCTCTCGTTGTTGGTTGTCCACCAACTTGTTGGGTGAAGAAGGTTAGGTTGTTTTCACTCAGGGTAAAGAAGGCTTCGTGTTTTGCTTTCTGGCAGCAGCAAGTTGATCACCAAGAAGTTCTCCTACTCTACTCCTTTCAGCAAGCGCGCACAAGACACAGATATTTCCGTAAGCTCCATTTTAGTCTTCAACAAGGAGAGAAAGTCCTCAGAATCTCCCTCGCCCTCCTTGACTTCTTGTCTTTCTAAACGGTAGAAAATAGACTGTGACTGTGTACGTGTAAAAGTTTCCATTGATTCGTGAGATTTCGTGAAGTATTCGTGTCAGAGTAAACTAGTGTTCTTAGTGAACAGAGAGACCATAAGCTCGAGAACCAGACAACAACTTTTACAGCACAAGAAAGACTCCTGTATTAACTCGAAAAAGAAACGCAAAAGTGATTGTTCGCATACAAGTCTAAATTGTTGCGAGACTAAAAACAGAGACTAAAAACAGAGACTCAACACAGTAAAGGTCCTCATGCATCTGCATCAGCTGCTCCGTCTCCTCCTGAGGGCGCTTTTTTCTGTCGCAGTTTCGCTTGCATGAGAGTGTGGCCTACCACACCCGTTTTCACCTCGATCTGTCGTGTCTCGTTCCTCAATTTCTGGAATGCATCAGGAGTTAGAAGAAGCGGAGGGCATGGAAAGGGGACCGGGAAGAACAAAACGAGCAGTGCGAAGAAAGTACTCCTTGTACCTATTACAACTGTTCGCGAAGATTGGTGGTCTTAGGAGGAAGTTTGGAGCCATTTTAATTGTGGTGGACCCGACCTAACTAGAAAAAAGACAGACCAGAGAAAGATAGAAAAAAGAAAAGGACAACTATCAACAAGTGTCCTGAAGTATCCTGCTAACTGCTAAAACTAATTAAGCGCCGGCGCTATCGTCGTCCGTCAGTTTGGAGCCATCTTAATCTAAAAAATTGTAGTACTAGTACTAGTAGCAAGCGTAACTTTATCTTCACTATAGGCGCGGTGTCTGTGACAGTCGTCGACAAACTTTCCATTCGACTCTTTACTTCGTCCAACTCTTCACTAACTCCCTTCAGTTCAATCTGCAAATTCATTACTCGATCGTTCAATTCGTTGTAGTTTTTCGTCACCTGGAAATATGTTGAGAGGTTTGTGGGGAGATGAATTACATCTACTCTCTATGGGGACTCATTTTGGACCAAGTAGAACCTACAACAAGGGGACGGGCGTGCTGTTTTATGAAGATGTCAGAGTGGAGGTCTCTTTGTAGATCATTTTTGTCAACAGAAAGCAAGAAAAGCATACCGCCGCCAAATCCTCCTGCTTCGATCTGAACTCTGCTGCCCTGTGGTCGAATTGAGAATTGATAAAGGCTTCTTTGCCTCGCATTCGTTCTGACAGAGACTGCAGTTCTTTGTGGAGAACATCTAGTCCCGACTTCGCATCCGGAAACGCGTCGTCGATCACCTCTTGAAAATTCTTTGTTTGCAGCAGGTGTGCACGCCATTCTTTCGCGCTTTGACTATCAGCTGCTAGTTTCAATTTTGGCCCAACCCGCTCTAACTCCAAAGCCCATTGCTGTGGATCGACACTAGTTTCGAGGACGCCTGGTAGTTGCGAAACTTATTCTTTCACACTATTTGTGTCTGCACCTCCTGCACCTCTCTCAGTACGAGTAATATCCACATGTACAACTGGCGCACCTCTCTATAAGTACAAGTAATATCCACTGTGTACTAGTCTTCACTACAATCAGATTATAGTAGTCACTACACACTCACACATACAATTAAATAAGTACCTAGTCACTAGTACAATTAGAAGAGAGTCACTGTCACAGTACCTTCAAAAGTATCACTTTCATCTCCAGGGGATGCCGCTTTCTCGTTCATTGGGAAGAATTCCTCTTCTTCGACTGCCTGCAAGCCCTCATCCTCCTCTATGTCGCTTGTATTTGCCTCTTCATTTACCTCCGCTTCATCTGCCAATGCTTCGTCTGGATATCTGGGTTGGTAATTTTGGCTTGTCTTTGTTTTTATCATACTCGTCGATCGAAATAACTGTACTACTCAATTCTCGTTCTCGTCTTCATTCTACACTTAGCCTCATGTCGATGTCCTTCCACAAGCAAATAAAAGTACATTGGCTGTTGATATCGAAATCCTGATCGTTCAAGCACGAGGCGAACTAAGGCGTGCAATATTGCTAAAACCGCATCCCCAAAGCCGGACTTTAGTTTCTGTGGGCTTACGTCCGCACCTGCCACACCAGCGTCCCGAAAAATTACAGCTACAACCTCAGTCTCTACTTTTCGTCGTCAATCTCGACTGGACAGTTGTTTGCTATTTTGTAAAAACGAGCTAGTGTCCTCTAAGTAAAGAACAGACAGAATCTGATACCGTAAAGATAAACAGTGATCATTCGCTCAGTAGTCGACAAAGAGAGAGAACGAGGTGTCACATGTAGGTCGTTGCCGTAAAAGAAGCACAGCAAGGTTTGTGCAGATTGTCTGCGGGTCATCGTATTTTCCCCATGTCGGCTCGATCTGCAATTTCCGGAATAGCCAGGAGGCATTAGAGGATACTGAAAAACAATAAAGCATGCAATAAAGTAGTTCCTATCACAGGCTTGACCAAAATAAGAGGAAAATCACAGGCTTGGACCAAACAACGCCATTGCCATACCACACAACGACGTGAAGTACTTGAATTGGAGAGCGCTATTAGCCGCTTGCTGACAAAAGTAGCTCCTTGGCATGGCCATCATCTCTTTGTCTGTGAACTGGTTCTTTCCATCGTAGTCGAGGAGTTGGAGCATGTCGACGATCTGTTGGTGTTGTGGGCAAGGGGGATAACTATTTTTGCTGATATTTCTTTGAATCCTGATCATACCAGTAATCGAAAACAAGGAGCTGCAACAGAAAAATCCAAATCATAGAAAAGGTAGTAAACAAATCTCCATAGGAGGCCATTACCTCATCATTCATGATGAGCATTTCGCCCGTGATGACTGACGGTGCGGCGGCCATCTTGGCTGAGTCGGGATCTCGCGAGCGGGATCGTGAACGTGATCGTCGCGTCTTACTATTTTCAGAGCTAGATCTTCTGATACACAAAATGGGATGAGGTGCTACAGATGAATCTGCTGAAATTGCAAAGTCACTTCAATGTGGCTGTGTACTTTTGTGTAGTGCAAAATTTTGCTGCTGTTACAGTCACCATTGTGGTTCCTGTTACTTTTGTTTCAACATTTTCCGAGAAAAAATCTAAGTAACTCAGGTGTATTTCTCATTTTCCAGGTCGTTTTCAACACCATTATATGCACGTTTCGAAGTAGGGGAAACGCTTGTACTCTCATCGTACTCACCTCTCAGTTTCAGACTTTCACTCAACACCTGGCGCAATGGGTCGTGGCATTTTTTTCGTCTCTTGCAACGGGATCAACCTTGGCGTGACAAAAGATTTTTTAATGCCGTGTATACCGACAACCAGTCGTATGCCTGTGCCCGATATTCGACTCAAATACACCAGAAGAGGTCAGAAATTTTCAGAAATGGTAGAATGCAGTTTGCAGTGACAAGAGCAAGCTCCTTGAAATGAAGATGGCTCTTTGTTTTTTCTCGACCACAGGCATCGTGTGATGTGTCCCTGCGTATCTCCCGTCATATATGGGTTCATTTTGTGTAAAGGTTTTTCCGGCTGCATCTTGAATGTAACGAAGATGCAGGAACGAAGAGCATGCAACACGAAGCAACTACGACTAAATGCACGCCAATCCGTGTGCGCAAATCCAAACAGTGGTGCTACTGGACATTTACTTTTACAACAGTCTGTACATGATCAGAAGAACAAATTCTTTTACAGGATGCGCTTGCGCGTGGAAGAATGATCAACAAAAGTATCAAGAAGTATCGACGCAGAGGTCAAAATGAATCATATGCAGCTAGGAGATTGTTTTTGTTCACAAAACGAAATATAAGAGGAGCGGTAGAGGATCAACAGTATGAAGGGGTAAGCGTATGTCCACACCATGATCAGCCCATGAACTGCTCCAGCATGTCTCTAACCATGATCAACCGTCCAGGATCGAACCTTGCTGGAGCAATAGCTAAGCGGTCAGGCGACACTTTCCGAAAGCCCATAGCCTCTAGGACAGGTAATCCGCCAATTTCAATGAAGGCTTTCACCTTCGCATTGGTCAGTGGCACAGATCTGAATTTGTCTTCCCCAAGATTCTCGATTAGGTTCTTGCATAGTCGATGAGGAACGGAAAAGAGGTCCTTACTACTGAAAGTTGAAGGTTTACCAGCTGCAGAAGTGGTGTTCGATGTACTTGTACCACCTGAAGTTCCGTTGCTAGGCTTAGATGAGGACGCTAGGGCCAATTTATGCGCTTCTTTCGCTTTAGCTCTGATATCAAGCAGGCTCTTCCGAAGCGACAGCAGTAACTGCGCGCCCTCATGGCCAATCAGCATGGACCATTCTGCCTCGTCTATGGGTGGGATTTCTGGCTCGTCGTCTACAGCTTCGGGCTGTTGCTCTTGTTGGCTGGGCACAGGTGCTTGTGGTGGTCCTGGTGCTGGTGGTGTTGGATCTTGATTTACCTCTACTTCCCTTTTCAACACCTGCTCTGTTGTACCCAAAGCACCTTCTTGATCTTTCATCTGTACATCCTCTACTACATCGTCCGCTGCATCTACTATCTCCATCGCTTTCGCTAGCTCCTCCTCCTTATCCAGCAGCGCCTCCGCATCCTCTAAAAAAGGTGTTGTGCTAGCGATGGCGCATCCATCCTCTCGATTTGGAGGCACGAACTTCTGGCCGTTCATGCATATACCACAAGGGCATCGCTCCATCAAACTTGGATCATGCTGCTGCTCAGGAGGTAGAGTACGAGGAGATAGAGACGGAGGCTTCTGTGCTGGAGATAGAGTAGAGCCAACTGCAACTTGCTGCATCTTCATCCTCTTTTCTGCGAGTGCAGCTCTGGCTTCTCGCGAATTGCCGCCTTCCTGCATCAAAATGTCCTTAGAGGTAGAAGAAGATCGAACACAAGGTACTCTGTGACAGACAGAAAATATATTTTGTTTCGGAAGGCCTAAAACATGTTGCTTTGGTCCAGAATAGAGAGATCAAACCTAGGACCATCCATCAAATGAAGCTCAAAATATTGAAACTGCACAGTATCTTGAACATTCATCCATAACATCCTCAGATCCACCTAGACGTTGTGGTTTTTCATCGTCACTCGAATCTGCTCTGTCTGCAGCTGCGGAGAAACCACCAGCTGTTTGCCCACCGCGAGAGTAGAAGTCATGGAATGCGTCGTATTCCTTCTTGTATTTCCGGAAGAATGAAAGAAGGGAAGGGAGAAGGGAGGTGGGAAGACGAAAAGGTTGAAAAAGTAGGATGAGAAGCATAAGCAATTGGTATTAGTTGAGGGCCCTCATCTTCTAGTACTAGTCATGGTCGAGTAGTGACGTTGATGAACCATTGCAATTCATAATCCTTGTAGTTGTATGGTATGGTAGGGTCCTTGTAGTTGTAGTATGGAATGGAGTTTCGCCCTGTGCAGTATTTCGAAACTGTCGATGGGACGATTAAATACAGTACTTCACTCCCGAAGAAGGGCACCATATGTAACTCCATTTTCATAAAAACAAGTTCCAGAATTTGTCGTCATGTGGGCCAAACGTGTTGTGCACCAACTCGTGGATCAAGGTGTTCACGAGATCGTAATACGGCCGAAACCCCTTTGTATCGTCGGTCCGGAGTCGAAGGACTATTCGGGCACCATAGTTTTCGTTAAAGCCCAAAAGATCGCCGTCTTTGCCTTCCATAGCCATGCGTTCTTGGGCCTCAGCAGGACTCATTTCCGTGAGGAGATGGACGGTGAGACTGGGTGTAGTTGGAAAAGGTACGGACTCATTTCCGTGAGGAGATGGACGCTGAGACTGGGTGTAGTTGGAAAAGGTACGGACTCATTTCCGAGGTACGTAGAAGTGAATCAGGGTGACGGTCGTGACGGTGAGGGGGCTATGACTATCCCACAACTATGGATGTATGTATCTTGAGGCCCTATGACTATCCCACAAGAACTATGGAAATGGATGTATCTATAGAAATAGAGAGCTTCAAAGTTACAACTAGAAAACCCTGATCATCGAGCACAGAGAGGAACGAGAATCACAGTCACAGGAGAATCACAGATCAGAGGATCGCTGTATACCTGTAATCCGTCATGATCTTCACAATTGCCGGATCGTGGGCTAGTTTTCTCAGCAATTTCTCTGCTTCAAACGGCGTCGGAGTGTTGTACTTGTACTCTGCCACGATCTTTCGGAAGCAGGAGGTTTAGAAGAGGAAGAGAAGATTCTTGTTGAGGTAATTAAAAAATGTATTGAGTTCATCGTCCTAGGTCGCTGCAACACACACTTGGCAATTCGATTTGATTTTGAATTAATGATATCAACTCTACTTCTTCTTCTACATCACAATACTCATTCTATTTCTAGTATAATCTACAACTCGTCACATAAAACTCCGGATGCATTTTACTGCCTCCCCAACCTGACGCTTCCTTCGCCAACTTCCTCAAGCGACGTCTGCGCGCTTTCTCATCCCTAGCCAATGCGTCAAAGCCCTTCACCAGTGGATCTGCACGCGCAGATTGGAAGAAATCGATGTCCTTCTCGGTACTCCCAACTACCATAATCTTCACACTTGTTGGAAGAGGAAGGTGCGAGTCTGCTTCCTCTTGTGCGCCATCGTTCTCCTTTGGGTTGTTCTCCTTTGGTTTTTTCAGAGATGGAGGCGAGCTCGACGTGCCAGGTCCCCCAGGAATTTTCTTGGCTCCACCCTCTGTATCATCTTCCACTTCGTCGCCACGACCCTTAGGCTTAGTCGGTGTACTCGAAGCTCTTCCTCCCCGTCCCTTACTTGGCATCAATGCCAAAACCATATCTCTGGCTCTGGCATAGGGAGAAATCTTGCGACCTTGGTACACGATCCTGCAACTTTCAGGTCGTACGTCGTACAGCTCCTTGAGCATGTCGAACAGAATCTCCAATCGGTCCTCCCCGTGATCGCCAAATGGGACGTCAAAGGACGTACCACGAAACGTAAATTTGAGATTCATTTTGTTCTACTTTTAATATCTCTAGATAGAAGTTGAAGTTACTGTTAGTTCTTACAACTGTTAATTTATTAAAATCACACGCACGATTCGATATCTTCGATTACATGACCAAAGGAAGTAAACGTTAAGGTTCTAAGAACAGTAAGACGATAGATCAGGAATCGGGATCAACAGGAACCGTCGGGAAACCGCTGACGATTCGGCAACAAGCTAGACTAGCGGGTAGAATTTACCAGGGAAATCTTAGGCAGATTGCCGAGTAGACTCGCATCATCAAGTTTGAAATAGATCATGAATCGGGAAAATATAAGAAAGAAGGGTCCTGCTCAAAAACAACACAAATTTTTCAAATCATTCATCAAGCCCAACAAGTCGGGAAAAAGTACAGTCAAAGCGTGGGGAATAATAGTCACGGGGATCGGGGCGTCGGGCTTAAAAAGAGAAAGAATGTTGAAGGAGGCTTAAAAAGGGGAAGCTGCCCATATTTTGGTTCATCTCAATCAATCAGTAGTCACTTTCAAAGTCCAGCTCACTGTGTAAATAATCAAATCAAATATCAATGAATCATTGGAATGCACTTCTACAACCGAGAAAAGCTGCTGGATTCCAGATCCGAAGAATGACATTTATTAGATCATATTAGAAGAGCCTAACTGCGTCTGTGGAGAGAAGACGAGCTACTTCTTCCACTGAATTCATGGAGAACACCCGATAATATGCAGAAGCAGATGACTGTGAACGACTCTGTCTTTGTAAACATTAGAGGCCTGCTCAAGGCGTTTCCGTCGAAGCGCTCATCTGTCAGTGTATCTCGTTTACTTGTTCAGGCTCAAAATTCAAAACTGAAGTTTATTCTAAACTCAAATTTCCTAAAAATCTGAAGAAAAATTGAATGAAAAAATTTCTTGCTCAAATTCGGTAATCGCCAACCTCATTTCGATCTCAGGGCTGCTCTTCTTGCTTTCCCATACGATCAAAATCACGTTACCAAATACCAGAAGCATACATTTCTGTTCGTAAGAGCGCTCGAACAGGTCAGTGTCGAATAGTTTCTTCATCATGCATGATGATTAGGTAGTACCACGCGCAGCTCATCTTTATATCCCAATAATGAATTTGTCCCCGTAGTAGATGACAGGCGGCTTTATATTCATTTTTCATCATAATTTGATTCTAGATCTAGTCAGTGTGATGTGTTTCTTGACGTAGATTGCTGATCCTCGTACTTTCATAATGAAGAAGATACGGATCTACATCTACTTCACTGTCTCATGTAAAAATACGACTAACACACTCAGCGACTAAACGAGCAACGACTAAGTTGCTCATTTTCTTAGAAAAGCTCTTCCGCTTCTTCTGGGAGTTGTGCTCGCATTTCGACAAGGACATGGGAGCTGTGCTCTGCGCAGCGGGCGGTTGCGCGAGACGGACAGTGGCCGAAAAAAGATCGCTTCTCCTCTTCGTCTGCAACGCCATGTAGCTCTGTACTCGTAGCGCCCAGAATATTAGAGGGATTCTCCTTCATGACAGTCCTGATTCAGTGCAGAGGAATGAGACGAACACGAAGAAAACCTACTTCACCAGCTAATCTGCTTCAGTCATGATCACCAGCCAGGAGCGGCCCCTTCTTCATCGTAGGACCAACTTATTCTTTTCTCTTCTTCTTTCTTCCTTATAAACCACTTCTTTCATCTTTATCAACGCCAACCTTCTTCTTCACTTCCAAACATCTCACCAACACTTTCCATCGCATCATCTTCTTTTTGCAGTGCCAGAGGAATACAAGAAACCCGAAACGCGAAGAAAACCCACTTCACCAGCTAATGCTAATCTTCTCGTCTCTCAAGCCGCGTCGTACTAAATAGAAGCGCGAGGATATTACTCAGGGATGTGTCTTTTACTAGACAGAAGTATAAGGGGGATGGTGAAGCATCATGTGCCTTCTGATTATTAGAATAACAGTGGCGCTTAGAAAAAAAAGAATGTGTCAATTATATTTATAGTAGCCATACGCATTCCAGCCTCCGGAGATAGACCCAGCGCGCCAGCCTTTTCTTTACGGCGAGGACAAGGAGAAGTCGCCACTTTTGTGTAAAACGATGCTCCTACTAATTGTCCTGCAGCGCTGCAACTCTTGTTCTTCGATTTCCTCTCCCGGCAAAACGCCACACACTTGTAGAGCGAAGGTTAGAGGAGATTCCTTTGCGGTCACGTAACGGAGAAAGGAGATGTGTTCTAAATCAAGCACCAGTATGAGTGTTGGCACCCGAATACCATCGAGCACGCGAGTCTAAGTATCCTCATTCCGAAGTTCCTAAATTCAGCGCTAGAAGTACTACACTGCTATATACTTTATGCGAACAGCCATCACGCAGAGAACGAAGAATTACTACAACCAACCATCCAATGGATCCATAAAGATAGACCAACCATGGCATCCATAAAGATAGACAGCCATTAGGATGCAGCCACTGCACAGAGCTACCTGCTTCGTATTACCCCAGTCGAACAGCTCGCCATGCTGGACCTGGACGAAACTGGAGGCGGAGATATCGACGCCGAGCTCTGAGCCCAGCCGTGCGATGAGTGTGTCTATCACAGACGGTGCTACCCCGACCACTCTAACACGCCAAATGTCGTCATCCGCATCGCTTTTCTGCCATCCCCCGACGCGAGACCACGTTCGCTTTTTCCAGCCCCCCGTCTTTGAATATCGTTCGAGGATCACGAGCGAAAACTCCCAGGCCCAGGAGAAGTGCCAGGGTGCCCCGCTCCATGCGGACCAGGGGAACCGCGGACTGTGGGGGATCGACTGTTTCTTTTGTCCGAAGACGAACCGCACAGGCACATAAGCATATTCCGAATTTTCCGGATTCAACAGTTTAGCGTACGTGACCTGGAAATGTGGTAGCTTCAACGCAGGGCCCAGGTTTCCTATAACCACGGGCCCATACTCCAGCACGCGCACACCTGTTCGCATGATGCAGCTGTCTCGCGTATATGGAGCACTCATCCGCCACGTCACAGTAGGAAACAGATCACATGCGAAGAGCTCTTCCTGTGGAATCTCGCCAAGGCCAACTACTTCCTTCGCGCTTACGATGCGACGGACAGGTAACGTCCTTCCAGACATGCGCTTGTCGATATGCTGCCCGCGGGCCGTGCCAGTAAGTAGCGCGAACCCGCTCTCCATGTACGTGGTCTCCATGGCCTCAAAGTTGACGACCTTGCTGCCTTCGAAATCCTCCTGCTGTGTGACAGAGTCGAAAAAAGATGGACTCACGACCTCGAGTCTGTAGCCTTTATCTGCATCTGTGGTGCTCACTAAACTGTTATGCGGAACGCAAAAGAGTGCCTTCTCCCTCATGTCGGCGTTGGGACAAACAAGAGGCAGCGTTTCCGTCCTTTCCCGGTTCCTTAATGACTGCAGAAGAGTGCCGATCCATCGGATTTGTTGTTGTTCATCTGGTGTTCGCACCATTCGCATGTCGCGCAGAACATGTCCCACTTTGTTGTAAACAAAGTCCCCTGATAAGATGTCCGTGACCTCCTCCACCAGCTCAGTGCACTCCTCGAGGTCAACTGTTTCGCCCGGAATTATCGGCACTTCCTCGAGCGCGTCTTTGTGGGTCTTTCTCACGTGATTCAACGAGAACCACGAAAAACATGCCCTACGGTCCGTCAGCTTTTCGTATATTGCGCGATCTCCATCCTTGGTGCTTTTGCGTAGCGCTTCCGTTGGCTTAGGTCGTTTAGGCGTAGCGAAAGGTATCCATTGCCAATGGTCAGCATCAAATACTAACCACTCGTGCCCAACCACATCCTGAAAAGGGGCAGAGTTCCGGTTTGCAAGACGGGCGCTGTTCCCCGATCTACCAAAGGTGTCGCGCACAAAGGCCTGCTTAGGAGAGAGACCCTCTGCTCCTTTAAAATTCAGCCACATATTTTCCCCCCTATAATTCTCAAAATCCGAGTCAGGGCGATTATCTGGCTTCGGTTGCAGTTCGTCGAATTCTAGGACGATGATGTCTCCCCTTTTTCTCGGAGGAGGTGATCTGGAAGAAACAGAAAGCACTTTTTCCAGTTCGTCCGATTCGAGGTCTATCTCGTCCTTTACTATGGCGTCGTCTGCCTTTTTTTTCGGAGGAGGTGATCTGGAAGAAACAGAAAGCACTTTTTCTCCCAAAAGCGCTCGATTTCCAGCACCGTTTTCCGCCGCATACTTAGTACTCGGAGATGTTGTGTTCCGTGAAGAAGGCGACCCCCCTCCTCCAGTAGCGGCAGCGGCATTTCTCGTCGCCTGAAGAGCAGCGTGCCAAGGATGAAGGGTTTGCATGGTACGTAAATAAAAGGCCATGAGATCCATTCTATGCCGCAGAGGCAAGGTAATGCGTCCTCGAGAAGCTCTTGGATGGTCAGGCACGATCACAGCGTTAGCACTTCCTCCATCATCTCCATCATGATCTTCATCCACATCTAGTACTTGATGGTGGCTTGGACCGTTATCGTCTTGAGTGGGTCTTCTCAACAATGCTTTGCGAAGATCTTCGTCGTCAGATGCGCGCGGAGATGATGCTGGGGTGGCGGTGAAGGCACTCGGCTGCCACAGGTGGAGGCACCAGAGAAGACACCAATTACCGACGAACCAAGCTGGACGACGCGCCATCATTTGGTAGCCTTCCGGCTACTGCTGGCAGTCTCTCCGATGAGAACAATAGAAGATAGAACTCACATGCTTAAAAGTCCTTCTCAACCTCACTAAGCTCCCAATAGATCTTAGACAGAGAGTTCTGTACAACTGGTCGTGTAGAAAGACGTGATTTCTTATGATTAGGTTATTGTTGTGCGCACTTCAACTTCTGACTTCATCTCAACGGTGATAAAAATCCTCCTCTTCTACCTCAACCTTTTCGCGACACCACATAACTAGTGCGAGGCACCTGACTCACGCTCACTATCTTCATGCCGGACTACAACAATGTTGAAGAAGCGCCGCTTACAGGATCAATGGCTCACCCTTTACCTTTAGTCCGTGACAGATGCAAATATGATGGAGGCAGAGTAAGCAGCACTTAATGTGGAGAGACATACGTGGTCCTTGTGGCAAGGTGGACGTGTCTCCGTACCCGTGGTACAAGGCTACACTGTCACACTCACTCTGTTGAAGCAGAAATCTTCATGCTAAGGAACAACGCGAACAGAACCCAAAAAAAAGCATCATCATGAATCACGATCATCTAGATGGCAACTCCTCTTCAAGCTCCTGTAGTCACAGTGGTTCATAGCATCAGACAACGTTTTAGAGCCCTCTTATTCATCAATGACATCGTGCTGGAGGTTAACCAAGAGAAGTACCAACATCCACGCTTGTTCTTGTTGTAGAAAAAGAGAAAATGAAAAATCTTCGAAAGCAAACACGGAGTCATACCAGCCAGTCTTCAATTGTTGATATCGGTTTAGTACAAGTACATCAAGTTCAAACAAATCCTCAGTATAATAACTGCATCTCGGGATGAGATAATGACAGGTTTTGGTAAAGCCAAACTATAACTTCTTCTAAGTTGTTGTCATGCTTAGAGGGGTTACAATAATCATGATTATCATGCTATCATATGTGATGCTAGGCTTCTCTTACATCTATGAGTATCGATCACTGGCGCTGTGCAGCCGAACTCCTCTAGCCCTTTGCGCATGTGTTCTTGTGCGTCCACTTCGGAGAACACAGAAGCATGCAACATTTACCTGGTCGTTGTGGTGAAGGTGAGGCAAGTTAAAAAATATTGACAATCAAGATCATTTTCAGTGGTAGGAACGATGGTAGATAGAGAGAAGTCTTTGATTTGCATAGGTCTGCAGTTTTTTGCGCATAAAACGAAGTTCAAATTCAGCTTAGGTCTAAGCGGCGTTACAAAACTACCTCCGACGAGGACGAGTCTGCGAGCAGCTCGGTAGCAAACGCCACTGTGTGATGCGATTTGTGGGGGCATGACAATCGAACCTCATCATGTGATGATGTGACATTTTCTAGTTCTTTCGTGGAAAGTCTTCATCCGAAGATGTTCTCATGTGATTGCAAAGGCACGTCTTGTTGTACTTTTTTTCGTCCTCCATGCTACTTTTTTTGTTTTTTTCACGTTTTTTGTTGTCTCCTCTTGCTCATCCTCTTGTAGATTCAGGAGTAGCTCCTCATCGCGTTGACGGTTGTAGTGAAGATGATCATCGCCGTAGTTTCCCACAAAGATGTGTGCCCCGTTCTCCATCATCTCCCACTCCCACAAGAGGGTCCTTCTTCTACATCCTCCTCCTCCTAATCCTCGATATCCTCCTCATCTTAGCAGTTTACAATTCTCCATTTCCCCCCATGGCCAGCTTGAATTTGTTCACGATGTGCAAAAACACCACGATAACCATGTAGGAGAGGGACATAACCAACACGGTGACCGGAGAGACCTTGGTGCCTGCGCCATCGTCCGAAGAGAAGCGCAGCATGTTAGACATGGACGAGTTGCTTTCCTTGGCCTTCTCCTGCTCCTTTCCCGGGCGGCGATTGGCAGTGCGCATGCCGGAGGCAACAGCAACACGTTGAGCGGAGTCAGACATTTTGATAGTGTTGGGGGTGGTGGTGTGCTTTTCACAAAGGAATAAGCTCAATTGAGTTGTGGTAGTGGTGGTGGTGACGTGCGAGAGTCGTACTTTGTGGTGGTGGTTGTTGTGAAGGTAGTTCTACTTGGTAAAAGCAGAAAATAGAAGAGTTGTACAACAGTTGCAAACAAGGAGTGAAGGCTATTTTTCGTTTGATTGTGGAGGAGTCAAAGAAGTGATGAACTCTCGATGAAAAGATGAACAACAGCAAAACACCAAAAGTGTGAGTGTGTGAAAAGATTATTTATACCTGCATAATGAGAATGATGATTGGTGCGTTCTCTTGTTGATGAGAGTTTGAGTCGATAATTATGCGCAATCCGTACAAGCCTTTTCATATTCATTATTCTCCCGTGGTCACGATGGAGTAGTAGAACAACCAGCTGCAGCCGTACACGTACAGTTACTGAAGATTTTCATTCTGCTTTGACTTCTACATGCAAACTGAAATTGAGCTAGCCTCAGCGTCAGTCAAGATCAAGGACAGCATCAAACTGGTATCTTCTAGTTCATCCGATTCACATTCAGAGCGTATTTTTTCACATGACTACATTCACATTCAGCTGCAATGAGAATGACCGGAAATTCAGATTCACAAGGAAGTTCATTCTGTTCGCTTGGATTGGTGCAGTTTTGTTCTGTTGAGACGAATTCCGAGGAAGAACGGAGAACACGGTGGACCAACTCCACATGATGAGTACACTTCAACAACCTCCGTCCGCCATTGCTGTTGCGTCAAATAGAAACGGGGGATACAGAAACGGAAACAATGAACTACACCATGCACCGAAATGTGGCCATTGCTTCACGAGCGGATGGGGGTGGGGGCAACTACTTCTACACACGCTGTTTTACAAGAAGACTGCACGCCGAGAATTTGGATGAAAGACGTCAAGCAACTGTCACCTATTCATCTTGCCATAGTTTTCTTGCAAAGTCTTCCAGAGTTTAAGTAGTTGCAGTCTATTCAAGTTATACTTCTACCTTGTTTATCTCGAAGATGTCACATATATTACAACATGAGGATCAACATCTATAGACGAAAACGCCTTCCATCTTCTTCCTCGTCACGCCTTTGCTCACCGCATCCTTATCCACTGATCTTCGAAAATCGTGTGACCATATGCAAACTGACGATCATGACCAGGAAGGCGCCGACTAGGGCTAAGAAAGCTTGGGGTGGAATCTTAGGCCCCATACCATCGTCAGACCAAACTTTCATAACGGATTGGGACGACCGCGCTGCAGTGCCACTAATGAGGGAGCCGGATGAGGCTCCAGAGGGATTAGAGAATATTGAAGAGCAAGAAGAGCTTCTTGTGAATCTGAATCTAATGATCGATTTTCGAATTATGAAGATATTAATTTGCGAAGACCATTCTTGATCATCAGGTAGTTGCTGCAGATTTCATCTAGTAATTTTTCAGATTAGAAGCCTCCGGGAGGCTCCCTCTTGTAGATGTAAGAAGCAGAATACGTAATCGTATAGATACTTAAATATAAAAAGGTTGTCTCTATGAAAATGATAAAGCTGTCAGGTCATAACACCAGCTGCGCCACCGCCGGATGACGTAGAAGCTCCACTTGCTCGTGTTCGACGGGCATTTCGTACGCCGCCGACTACTGAGGCGGCAGTGGCACGCTTAGGAGGCTCACCGACAGAATCAGAAGACATCTTGGCTGTCGATGTTGTTCTAGAAGAAACTGATACCAGCAGATACGAGTATTTTGAAACAATTCAACTTCCTGTCGGTGAGGACAAACAAAGATGATGATTCTTGTGAGATGAAAACTGACGAACGAGTGCAAACTTGATGTCGTTTATGGTTGGGGAAAAGGTGAGATTGAAGTCATCACAACTAGTAGATCGTAAATTTAGAATGCATTCGTGATTTGGAATTCTGAACGTCGGATTCAGCATCATTTCAGGCGCAAAGAGCGAGAGAGAGAAAGGATCGACGGATACCGCCAATATTCTTCACGACGCAGTACCAGTAGACAAGAATTCATTAACTATGAATTCATCGATTTATTGGATTCCGCGGACGGAAACTTCAGCTTCAGCATCGGCAGAAGAATCCTTGATCGTTGTAACGCCTTGTCGTTGTCTGGGATCCAAGGATCATCTCATCGTTCATGCTTTTCGAGAGGACAGTCAGTGACAGAACAACAAAAAAAGTTGCTGAATGATCAGCCTCCCAAAAAATGTCTATTGCATTTGCATCTGACATTGAATTTTGAACCTGAAAACCCTCACGGGCCCAGGCCCAATACCAAGGATATTTCAAAAAAAATCGTATCCCAAGATGACTGCGGTCGCCAAGAATTATCAACTGGTAAAAGACTTGAATCATTTTCGTCCTCCATCTTCCCTCTCTGTACCACCTGGCACATCGTGCTTGTACACATGACCTAGCGTGGAGCCACTGTAGAAGTGGATCTCTCTGAGATTCGGTATCGTACCCCAACACGTCCATTCCACCACACACCAGATATGCGTTACGGGCACTCGAGGATGAGGAATTTAGAGGTCGCAACGGACAAGTTGCACACTGTATCTAGTTTCCCACCTTCGAGTCATCTACTGACATTGTCATTATGTTTATGACCTACTTTCTTATAGCAAGGAGGTTCCTAGTGCTGGCGTCTAAAGGACGCGAGCACTGACTTTCACTCTTTTCCCAGGGTTGTAATTCGGCCGCATATCGACAGGGCTGCTCTAGCAGGTTTAGGCTAGCGCTCAAGAAGGTCGGTAGAACATATGTTCGCGCCTATTTTTTGCGCTTATGCTCCTTTTCTACGCATGAGGTAAGGTGTTCCTGGCGATCTTCATTATACTAGAAACTTCTCTTCATCAAGATCAACCTAGCCATAACATAAGAAGAACCCAGCACCCACATCCGTACCATCGTATCGCATCCGCGCACAATCCAAACCTTCTGTTCCCAGCAACTTCAACACTTTACCATTCGGTGCAGGTGGAGATCGCTTGTCAAGCTCTTGTCGGTCCTTCTCGACCTTTTCGAGGCGCTTCTGATGCTTCAAGCGGTCTTTTTCTTGAGCTTTCCCCACGACCTTCTGAGCCTCTACCCTCTTTTTCTCCAGCGTCTCGAGTTGTTCTTTTCGCCACTCTTCTTCTGCTAGTGCTTCGTCTTGCAACGTGTAACTTTTGTCGATCTTCAATACCTCTATCAACTTGCCGAGTAACAATGACAAACCTTGCGTCGACAGCAATGACTCTGAGAAGGACTCCACAGCTTCTTTCTTGACAATATGCCTCCATTCGGCACGAAATTCTGCCTCTCCAGTTGTAGGATTCCTGCGTAATCGTAAAATCAACGCTCGCGGATATTTCTGGACGTAGATGACCAGCAGGCGAGTTAAAGGCTTTCCCACTAAGCTTATTGTTGACGCTGCAAGATCCTTGTTCGTTGCGACTTCAGCATCTCCTACACCAGGATCTTCACTGCCAACCGCTCCTGCCCCACTGGCAATCGTAGTCTTCAAATACTCCCCTGCTTTCTTGATATAGTCCCCAATGACGACATGCGGTGGCGCAGTAGATGATGCAGAACCACCGCCAGCCGCGCGGCCAGCAGCTCTCCCATACACCTCATCGAAGTCCTCGACTGCTAGCCAGTCATCATCATCGTTCTCGGCATCGTCGGCTGATCCTCCTGAAGGCTTTGCACCACCTCCAAGCCACGAACTCCTGTCCGTCCACATGCTCGAGTCAAACATCGACGAATCAAACATCGTACTATCGAACAACATACCTGGGGCTGTGGCGCTTGGGAACATTTGCTGGATGGAGGAAGATCCTGACAGTCCTTGAGCAAGTTGTCCTTGTTGTTGCTGAGATGTTGATGATGAAGAACCTCCTGACCGCCTGCCAGCGGCAGCTTCCTTGGGCGAGTGCATCTCCACTGGCTGGATAAGACACCAGCCAGCGGGAACGCCATCCGCATCGGACGACGATTGCACATTTCCCATTTTTTCTAGGAGGTTGCGGTTGGTTGTCTATCTTTATGTAAATGCGATGTTGATGGAGGTCCTCAAGAACCCCAAGCCCAAATCTACGTGTTCATGCTACTAGCTTGTCTCGGAGTCGAAAGTATCGACTTTGAGAGGATGGGATGTCCAGTGTGTCGACTTTAAGAGTGATAGCAAAGCAAACTTGAGAGTAAGAGATTTTAGTTTCTCTCAAAATCTCCGAAACTACCCTCACTAATCGATCGCCCTCCTCGTTCCTTCTAATCCATCCCACTCTAGTCGAGTAGCATCCCACTCTAGTCGAGAAGCATCCCACTCTAGTCGAGAAGCATCCCACTCTAGTCGAGAAGCATCCCACTCTAGTCGAGAAGCATCCCACTCTAGTCGAGAAGCATCCCACTCTAGTCGAGAAGCATCCCACTCTAGTCGAGAAGCATCCCACTCTAGTCGAGTAGCAGCTACTGGAAACGCAACCATGTCTTGTTCAACTAAAAAGAGCCCAATGAAATAAAATTTTAAAACAAAGCCTGTCATGATCATGAAACAACGTTCCCAACATCAATAACAATAGGCGCAGACCAACTCGCATTCACTAACGACATGTCGAACCAAGGATCCTTCCCGTGACATACTTTAGACGGCCCCTCCAGCTGGAAACCGACACCACTATAGAGTGGGATCAGGTTTTCCTTGCAGATTAAGGCTGTTTTTTCTACCGTCAGGCTTTTCGCTAGAAGCTTTTGCACATGTTCCACATACCGCACAAGCATACCAGTCGACAGTTTCCTCCGCCTGTACCTTTCGTCGATCACCACGCTGTGGATGCACAATGTCGTTCCGGTTGGATTGTGCTGTGACATCGATTCTTCGGTCAGTTCGCCAAGGGCTAAGGTGCTGCAGATGAAACCGACTAAAGCATCCGGACTCTGGTCTTGGTCTTGGGCGTTGCCTCGAAACAATCCACAGAAGAAATCGCCAGCATTCTTCAAGCGGTACTCCAGTTTCTCTGGGCTGGCGGCTTCGTCTGCAGGATACGAGGCCTTCTCTAGCTCAGCTACACGGGCTAGAAAAGGACGCGTTAGCGGTGCAAGAAAGAACTTATCACCTGCGGCCGAGTCCATAGGAGCGCGTTTTTCGGATGCCATGTGTTGCTTGAGAGAATTAGAATCAAGTTGAATTTCATATATTATCAATGATCGATGGTCAATTTATAACTCGACTACACCAACGTGTGATACTAGTGGTCCTCTCAAAGTGTTCACCTCATCTTCAAGGCGATTCTTTTTCGCCTTCATGATCTCGTTGAGCCCGAGCAGACACTTCTACGACCATCCTTCCTGCTACCCGCATCCAGGGGACCGCAGCAGCGACGATGCGTCAACATCAATTTGTTTGTTCTTGTTACCACTTCTTGAGGAGGAAAATCAGTACAAATCATAAGGTCTCACACCCATCTAAATCGCGTGATATGTTCATATGCTTGTCGTTGTCGCCAAGAATTATTATAAGATCTAGATCTTGGTGGTGAAACATTAACATTGACCAAATTCAAATGCAACTCCTTCTATGTAGAAAGTGGTACAATATTGGCGTAAGTAATTATAGTGTTGAGCTTCATGATGATCATCCATATTCATTTCGTCGTGAACTTGTCATAGTACTTTTCGACGCTATGCTGAAAATAGCTTCCATCACCGAAAAATCCAAAAGTATTTAGGTATGTAAAAAATAAGGAATGATGTTGTTGCGTAAATGCTGAATATGAAAGTATAATCGTGACTTCAAAAGAAGTAGAAGATCATGCCTTCTCCGACTCCATCTACTTCTGTTTCATGGCCATCTCCACCGATGCGATTTGTTGATCGATTTCAGCAATGGTGGTCTGCTTCTCCTTGATCTGTTGTTCGTTCTTGGCCTGAATCTCTTCTGGCGTTTTCGTTGCGTAGTCTGCGGCTTGCGTCTTCTTCAGAGTGCCCTCTAGAGAGGCGGCGGCAAGTTTTCTCTGTTTCTGCAACTTCTCGATGTATGCGTTGAGATCCACCATGTCTCTCACATCGAGTCCAATGGAAATCTCGAGGTTGACCAGGGAGAGGAGGGCGCCGGAGATTAGAAGTGATTGAGATGGAGGTAAGCAAGATTTGAGATAGATTTCCTCTGCGGCTTCTCGTCAGGGTTCATAGAAAACTGTGATCATTTTCATGGGTTCAAACAACCTTGACCGTGTAGTGCCTAGTCCTAGTTACCTACAGCTACAGGATCAACCTCAACTACGTAGTTTACAACAGTAGCCTTAACTTCAGTGTCGTCTCTGCTTCCTTCGTTCCCTGCTTCACGTACTGAATCGATCCAACCTTGGCCAAGGTCTTGATGATCGAAAGGACTTCGGGACTGCTGAGATCTGCCGTCTTCACCGTTGAGTTTGTGGAGGTAGAGGAGGATGATGTGGACACCACGAATGCTGGAGGTGCCTTGTTCGGAATGTTCAATGCGCTCTGACTACTTCGGAACGCACCTACGATCTCCTTGGCTTCCTTCATCAACTTCTCGGAAGTCTCATCCTGCCAAGAACGCACGCCGAGCGGATAGCTGAAAGAGAAAGAGGAATGGTGTAAATTTTTGATTTGTGAAATTGTAAGTTGAGTCTGAATCATGGGTGTTAGTCTTACTAGTTTTGGTTGCTTGTTCTAGTCAAAAACTATCTTGCTCTCAAGAAAGCTAAAGTTTTTCCATGAAATCCTTGATGTTCTTCTCATCAAGAATCGGGCTGCGACAGCCATACTCAAATATTCTCTCTCTTTCAAGACCGCCTAAGTCGATCTGATAGCAATACTGCGAGAAACTCAAAATCTAGATGCTGAGAATGCCAAACAAGCAACTATGGAATCAGAAGTACAAAAAAGGTATCACTATCCCTAAGCCACACGCAAGTCAAGCAAAATAACAGTATGAGGAAAATTGGAAGCGTCACAAGCACAACACCGAAACCGAGAAGTAAAATAAAAAAACGTAGCTGCAGTAGTACCTGGCAATGCAAATCGACTCGTATTTGTTCGGGTTGTGCGGCAGTCTTTGGTACAACTCCTCAGTCACGAATGGCAGCATCGGATGCAACAATCGCAAGCCCTGGTCCAAGCACGTGTACAAAACGTCTCTAGCCACTTTCCTATCTGCTGCACCCTCTGAAGATGAAGTGTCTGGCGTAGCTTCTTTGGATTCACCATAGAGTCTTGGTTTGAGCAACTCAAGGTACACGTCACACAAGTCGTGCAGCCAAAAGTTGTAGATGCAGCTCACGGCCTCCGAGAACTGGTACTCAGCGAAGGACTTGTTCATGGTCGTGGCAGCGTAGTTGAGGCGGAAGGATTAGAGAGAAATCTCTATTATTGTTGTTGTGTGTGGACGAGGAGGAGGGGGGAAGTGGGTAAAAACATCTTGATTCTTCATCTCTATCGTGATGTCATAGTCTTCAACATGAAGAAAGCAATCTGACTCTGATCAGGAATGAATAGCTAGACTGGTTATCGATCCATGTCATAAGAAAGAATCCAGCGATCTTCCAAGCGCAATTTCAAACCTGGCATCATGGATCCCGGATAGCTGTACGCTCCGTCGATTTCTGATGGTGCCAAGTGTGACAAAGCGAATCTTGTCGCGTTCCACAGCTTATTACAGAAATGCCTGTATCCGACCACACGGTCTATGTCCAAATTGACGTTTCTGCCTTGCGCAGTGTAAGCCAATAGTCCGAGTCGGAGCGCATCAGCGCCACACTCTGGAATTCCACTCGGGAAGTCCTTCTTCTGGAGTGCTACAGCTTTGATCACTTCCGCTTCTGGCAGGTTACCACCCTTTACCTTCTCATGGAGTTGTTCCAATGTCGCGCCATCAATCACCTCCAGTGGGTCGATCACGTTGCCCTTAGACTTGCTCATTTTTTCACCGTTCTTGTCGCGCACCATAGCGTGGAGGTAGACGGTGGTGAAGGGTAGCTTCTTGGTGAGACCGAGTGACATCATTACCATGCGTGCCACCCAGAAAAAGAGGATATCGTGTCCAGTCTCGAGCAATTGACCCGGGAAGAAGGCCTTCATGTCGTCGCTCTCGTTGGGCCAGCCAGGGATTAGAAGGGGAATGGAGGAAAGGGGATGGGCAATAGGAGTTTAAGATCTTCAGGATACAGGAGGAGACAAGGAATCAACCGAGATCGGCAACTACCATTCTTAAGAATGGTAGCCTATTTACTTTTTCGTCGTCGACAACCATAACATCACAGAAAACGGGAACAAACCACTGGAGAACCAGGTGTCGAGCACGTCTTCGTCCTGAGCAAGCTTGATCTTGTCCTTTGGAAGGCCCAATTTGGCAGAGGCTTTGGCAAGTGCGTCTTCCTCGCTCAATGCCACAAACCACTGGTCCGCGTCTTCCTCCTTCGGTGCTGGTGAGACCACACGGTAAGCGGGGATACCTGAGTTGATGTTTATTTGGAGGGGATTTCGTTTTCAATTGAGGGCGCAGGTCGTGAAGCTAGTTCAGTATAGCGAACAAATAAAGCAGAGATCATCTTCATAAGATCACGATCACCATGACAACGTCGTGACAGCAATAATCAGTGAATAAGTAGTACGATGTCCCCACCAGAGTTGGCGCGAGATGCACCAATCTCTGATATTATCGAGCCACTTGAACCACGTAGCTTCATGGAAGTTCGGCAATATTCTCAAGTCGCCGTTGCGCACGGCATCTACGGACTCCTGCGCCAATCCCTTGCAGTTCATCCACCACTGAGGCTTGAGGAGAGGTTCGATGATATCTCCGGAACGGGAACAGAAACCTGGAGTGGGGGAGGGTTGTTGGTGTTTGCTATTAGTATTAGGAAGGACTACAAGGAGGAAAAATCGAAAGGAAATCTTTTTCACCGTCTTAAGTTATGCAACTTGATGTTCTCATCGTCCAAATCATTATCACCGTCTTAAGTCATGCAACTTGATTATCTCATCGTGGTCCAAATCATTATCATCTCCTAATCAAATGAGTGAAGTACCCAAGCTCATCGCGTGGTCCACTTTCTTGACGAACAAGCCCAACGTCTTCAATTCCGTCTCCAAATCACGACGCACCAGATATCTGTGCTTTCCTCCGAACTTGGCTTCGAATTCCGGAGAGCAGAGGCCCTTCTTCACAGTGCCGTCATCGTTCAACATGTTGATGAAGTCCAAGTTCTGACGTTTTCCCATCTGGAAATCGTTATGATCATGTGCTGGCGTGATCTTCACGCATCCTGTACCCAATTCGCGATCCACGTAGCTATCGGCGATCACCTTCATCACACGACTCGGGCAGAACGGATGCTCCAATTCCTTTCCGATTAAGTGCTTATAGCGGTCATCCTCCGGATGCACCGCGACGGCCGTATCACCCAACATCGTCTCCAGACGCGTCGTTGCTACGGTGATTTTCTCGTCGGTTCCCTTCACTTTGTAGCTGAAGTGGCACATCACGCCTACTTCCACCTTCAAGCCTTCGCCACCTGGCAGAGGTTTCAAGGTGCGCTTTGCGATTTCCTCGTAGTCCACCTCTAAGTCCGACAAAGCAGTGCGCAAATGCGAGCACCAATTGATCAGACGATTGTCACGGTAGATTAAGCCTTGGTCATGGAAGTTGACGAAAGCGTGCTTCACAGCCAGACACAAGTTGTCGTCCATCGTGAAAGCCTCACGGGTCCAATCTACGGAAGCGCCCAGTCGGCGGAACTGAGAGCAAATACGGTTGCCATACTTGTCCTTCCAGGCGTACACTTTTTCCAGGAACTTTTCGCGACCTAGAATCGTATAAATGGGAGGAATCATTATATTTATTTTGTTCGAATAAATCGGTATCGGAGTCACCAGTCTTGCATGCTCCTCAACATGTTATTTTGATCATGTTTGTCCGTTAATTTTTACAATTGTAGTACCCAAATCGTGTCTTGTCAAATTTTCCTCCTTCAACAATATCCTCTCAACCACGGACTGCGTCGCAATTCCTGCGTGATCGGTTCCTGGTACCCAGAGAGTGTGTTTTCCACTCTGTCTGTGCCATCTTGTCAATGCGTCTTCAATGGCAGTAGTAATCGCGTGTCCCAAGTGCAAGCTACCCGTCACGTTGGGTGGGGGGATTACCTTTATTGGTGGGTTAGGTGGACCAGCTTAATTCCACGTCGTCATTAGGATTTGTACTAGGTTGCGGTTTCGGAGAAGAATTAGATTGCATCTGCTGGTCATCTTTGATCATGCCTAGAAAGAATGGCATTTACTTGTGCAGTTCAATAAGAATAAGTTGTAGAAGTCTTCACAGGTAGTTGTAGTAGTAGTAAAACGCAGTAGTACCATAACAAACTTATTCTCCTCATGCGTTCCAGCGGCTTCTTTTGCGTTTGGGGTAAAATAGCCCTTCTTTGCCCACCATGCATCCCACGATGCTTCTACAGCGTCTGGCTCATAGCTTGCGGCCATAGGCTTTGACAAATCCTTCTTTTCACCTGTAGTAGTTGTGGTTCTTGGATTTTTGTAATGTTGAGCAGATCAAAAATTCTGAATTTGATTGCGGTCTTCAACACGTTGTACTTGGGCATTTCACAAGTGAAAAATTGGAGTCGAAAAATTTTCGTTGCCTTCGAAGCAACTCGACGGGGGCCAGTGTCCTCGCTCACGGCCGGTGAGACACGTGAAGCAGTCCTCGCGGCGCGCTGTGGTACTATTGGCCGCGCCCATGACGGGGGCTCTATTCGTCCCTTAGCCCCTGCGGGAATACGACATAGACTGAATAATTGCTACGAGCTTTAGTGAAGATTGTATTTAGCCAACGTTTTCCTATCGTAACTAATGAACAAGCTGAAGATCGTGAGCAAGGTGGTGACCACGGTTTCGGTGTAACACATTGCATGAAGGGAGGAGCCGAAGATTCAGAGGGTGTAACAGAGTAAGTTATGGACTACTTTTTAAAGTAAAATCCCAAAAATGTTTCGTTTTTTGTACCTTCCGGTGTCATATTGACGAATTTCTCCTTTGCTGGTTTTGGTGCTTCTTCCTTCTTTTTCTTGCCCTCTCCCCATACAGGCTTCTCTTTTTTCACTTTTTCTTCCTTCTTTTTTCCGCCTTCTGGTGCACGTGATGGGCGATCTGTTGGAGCTCCAGACAAGCAGCGTGCTTGCACGGCAGAAAACAATTCGTCCTGAGCAATCACAGGATTAGCAGCACCAGTCATTTTCTTGATGCTGTGTTTCTTTCGTAATAGGAGTAGTTGTGATAAATGAAAATTAGGGTGAAGTAGAGGTAGACCTGCTAATCGAAGATGATAACAAGTAGTGTTGCAGCTCGGTGTAGTTGTTATGCTTTTATGCAAGGGATAAAAACAATACTGGGATGTAGGGGGTATCAAGTTGTTGACAAGAAGAGGATTCTCAGGGGAAAAACGACTTCTCGTTGTAAAACCAAGTAACTCGCGCAAAAATTTATTACTGGTTCTGGAAACGGACATGCACAATTATGGAAATACTTAAATCTACTTTTTGAGTTACTCGTTGTCTTCAATTTTTTTCCTATGGGTAGGAAGATCATTCGGAGATTATGGAGAATTCAAGTCATTCCGAAGATCCGCGACCGTTTGCTTGTTTCATCTGAGGTTGCATTTTAGAAAAATCGATGGTGATCAAAGAGAGAAAACCGAATGTGTGGTCGGAGTGATCGTTTTGTTTTTTTTTGATTTAGGATCGAGATCCAGCGTTCATCGGTATCATCTCCTTGTGGAACATCGGTCGTGTGTACTCTCTACATTGAATCGTGGTATCATCTTCTTGTGGAACATCGGTCGTGTGTACTCTCCACATTGAATCGTGGAGGACAAGCAGGAGGAAGAGATCCATGCTGCATTGATGTACAACTGAGGGAAAACGTGGGATTTGATCGGGTAATGGAGAAATGAAAATACTTTATTCGGCAACATCCGTGGTGTTCAACAGGAAATAAATGGGTGTACTGTCGTGGGGATATAGTACATCATTCTTGTCTGAGGGGAGGATGTGGCAAGCATTACTCGTCTTTCACAATCACAACTTCGTACCTTCTCGTCCGTAAGTGACCGCTTCCTTGACTTCATCGATTCCACCTGCATTTTTCACGTTCGAATAGCCAAGAGCCCTCAGCCCACCCGCTGCGATGTTGCTGCGGCCACCGACGGCGCAGTAGACAAGCATTGGCGTATCTTTAGCAACTGGCAGCTTGCTGGCACTTTCTTGAAGCCTGAATAGGTAGACTATCGGTCAAGGGTTCGTTTGTGATGAAAATAGGAATAGCATGAAGATCAGGACTGAAATTATACGATTATCCAAGAATAATTTTCAACTATGACGGACAACGATAAAAGAATAAACACGCATCAACATGAAAAATAAACGCCTATAAGCAAAAGTACTTCACAACTGGATCATCCGTCACTTTTATCTGGATATTAATTGAGCCGGGAATTTGTTTTTCCTTGAACTCCTCCACTGTGCGCACGTCCAACAGAACATGGTCCTCTTTCTCCAATAAGCCTTGCCATTCAGGATCACAACATTTAGTTTCTTGAAAATTTGCAGGTCTCGGTGGCGGACCCGTAGACATTGGCCTGGTTTGCTGCGTTCCTCCATCGCCACAAAGAGAGCCTACCACTGCACCCATTTTTATGCTGCTTTGGAAATTGTTGTATGCACTAGCGTAAGGATGTGAAGAAGGTAGTACTGCAGATAAATGTAGTGCTGCTGAAGACGAAGACTTAGGAGTACTAGCCGCAGGCCATGGATTTTTCTTCAAATACGCATGATAACGACGCTGTGAAAAAGATAGCATGGTTTTGTTCAAAATTTTACGATTTCCGCTCATGATTGTTATGGCCATTTTGCGAAACAGAGCGCCCTAATTTCTAAGCTAATTAAAGCTGAAAATGTTGAAAAGGAGCAAGAAGAGGATGTGCATCTTGAGTGCGATAGAGGATAATTCAAACCAAGGAACCGCTTTGTCGCTCATGTATTCCTGCGTGCATCCAGTCTATTTTTGCCAGGCTCTTTTCCGTCGTAAACATTGCGACCAAGAAGCTTCCAAACTTGAACAAAATTCTCCGGAAGAAGTGCACCTGCATGTACGTATGCATCATTAGCAAATTCCGTTCCTTTCACTGGTATAGAAATATTATGAATGTGAATCCATCGATATAAAGAAGAAGATAATTCCCTGTCACGACCTCATGATCATGATTATGATACTGTAGTTTTTCTCTTCTTCGAAGTTTGTCAGCTGACGGTCGTAGCCATCACGTTGCTTCATCTTCATGATTCAAATCCACCTCCTGAGATGGTCTGAGTAGATTCCTGAAGCACCCTGGGCATAATTATGATGTACACATGATATGCTAGTCGTATGCACTGACGACCTACTGATGAGATGTCCCAGAAGATGAGAGCAGGTGGTCTCAGATGAATACTGTAGTATGTTCATCGTGCCCCCGACGAGGACGAGGATACTTCATAATAAAGCTTTTTAATTAGTCGACATGCTGGTGCAAATTTTCTTTTTCTACTACCAGGAGCCGTGCTACTCATATTTTTCATGACAGCATGCAGCTCCTGGTATATTCTAAATTTTACACAATGGTGGTTTTTAAGACCATAACATTCTTATTTACAACCTCAACGTAGGAGGACAACAACGTTTGTCCCTTAACTACAGTGGTGTCAAACATCACAACCGATTTTAGATTGTGATGATAACCAACATTAATCGACAATACAATGAACCATTCTTCTTCTTGGTACAGGAAAAAAAAAGAAGCAAGATATAAGTGACAGTATTTGCAAATTCAGATGTTTCCTTGCAATGTAATAAACAATAAAATGCTAAAAGAATGTGATGTTCAATGAAAATCTACTTATTCGAAGTTAAAATCTAAATAGTATCGTTTTTGATTGCCATGAAGATTGGTCATGTGATCTCCTCCAACAATCCTCCAAACCCTTGAGAACCGAAAAGCCTTCCATCTCGATCGACAAATTCGTATAATCTCTTCTTGTCGTTTCAATTCGGTACGTCTAGATTCAAGTTGATATATTTTCAAATAAAATCAAAAATTTTCAATTTTTGAACTTGTGTTGGTCGGTGATTTTGCTACTTTTGGTTTTGCGTACAATTGGGCTGATCTTGATCTTAAAATAATTTAATTTTGAATAAAATCAAAAATTTTCAAATTTCAACATTTCAATTTTTGAAAATTTTGCATTGGGCTGTGAGGGTGGGCAGGCTCCTTAGTGGGTTTTGTATTCTTCTGCACTTACATGCTCTCAGTTATGAAAATTATCGTATCTATCTGAACACCATGCTACCTTTGTTCTCCTTCATTGGTCAGCACCTCGTATGTAGTAGCACTAAAAACCACTCAGCAGATAATAATAAATCCTTCTAAACGCGTAAAAGTAGTTCAAAGAAAGTCCAGCAAATCTTCAGCCGCTAGTTCCTCCGCTGCCTCTTGCGAGTCATTACGAGGCGCAGGCTGTGCACCTACAGCATTCTTCCCCTTCGCCTGCTTGATCGATGCAGGGTTAATGCGAAGAGGCAGAATTGGGGCAACTGCAGTGCCTTCATGTCGCGGGACTAGGTCATCCAAGACCCTCGTTGTGTCTTTCGGCGCTAAAATGAGGACATTCTCACCGACAACATTGTCGATGAGACCGCTAGTTACATTCGCCACTACCGTTTTAGCTTTCCTCTCTTCAGGCTCAGGTCTACCGTTCCGCAGCGTTGGAAGTTGCTCTACTTTGATTTCCTGGATCGGTTCTGGAATTAGACTAGCACTCGGAGCTTGTGCGGTTGCAGAACTTGCTGTAGTGTCAAGTGAAGCAGCTACCTCACTGTGGTCTCGGCTTCCTTTCGAAATTATATCGCATATCGCGTCATCAGGCAAAGAAGTCCTCGATGCTGCATTGGGATCCGCAGGGGGCGTTGGTACAAAAGTCTCAATAGTCTCCATGATCCCATGTGGCGCGTCCTCGCGCTGGGGAGAGGGATCCACCTCGTCGCGATCAACCACCACATCAAGTTCGACGTCCTCCTCTTCTGCTTCATCTACTGGATTTAGAAGTCCAGGTACACCAATTCGTGGTCCTCCTCCATTGGCCGTTGATCCGGAAGAAGAAGACGATGTGGTCCACCCTCCAGCCGCTAATAGACGGGCTTGTCGGGTCCATGGATCCTCGTCGTCTGCTCCTGGCCCACTGGCGCTTGGAGCTGCTTGATGTAGTCCTCTGGCGAACGGGTTATGCATGAAAGCCAAAGGATCGTGGATATGAAAAAACGTTGGTGAGGCTGATGGTGACGCTGAGGGTGATGCTGAAGGTGAGGCCAAGGGATCCTTTCTTGGTCTCTTTCTCGACACTGACACAGCTCGACCTGTTCTGCTTTTTATCAACTCCTTTAGGTTGAGTGGCACGCATGATGAAGTAGCTCTTTTGCCGACTGGCAAAGCACTCGATGAGGATGCCCTTGATTCGCGAGTTGTTGTAGAAGATGAGGACGTAGAAGTCGTAGATGGTGAGAGCTTAGTCTTGTTCGTACAACTACTGCTAGTACTTGATGATGCCGCTCCATCAGTTCTTGTACTAGAAGTAGACGGTGAGAGTTTGTTTGTCCTTGTTGTAGTTCCGCCACATGATGTTGAAGACGAACCACGGGAATCGTCACTATGAGGCTTTGCTTTCGAGGAATCCAGGAATGGAAGCTCACCTTGTTTCTTATCATCGCTTTTCATTTTGTTAGTCTTGATAGGGTTCTTTGCTCTGGCAAGGCTCTTCTTGACTTGTGCTTGAGCTTTTGCTCGTGCTCTACTGTTCGAGGTGTTGTTGTTCTTCGCGGATTTCGGTGCGGGTGCTGGCTTTCTCGCTATAGACTTGCTGCGCTTCGAATTCGATGGCTTGCTCTTGGCTTCCGCTACAGGAGCCTTCTTCATTGCGACTGGCACTTTCTTCATCGCCCTGCTTGCCCCTTTAGCCTTAGCAGGCTTGGCTACTTTCATCGGGATTGACTTTGGTTTAGAAGAAGAAGCAGCCTTTTGTTTTTGCTCGGACACTGAGGGCGCTGAAGATTTCTTCTCCTTTTCGTCCTCTCCGGAGCTTCCTTTTTCCTTTGGCGCAACTACAGCTGGTAGAGATGAAGAAGCAGACGGTGCCGGATCGCGATCGAGAGGACCCTCAATATCAGCTGCTGCTTTTGATGTTTTACCCTCCCCATCTGCGACTGGAAGCGTTTCCTCTTCACCTTCGTCATTCCCTAGCAAGTCGTGAACACCTGTGGAGCTGGAGGGTTCTGCTTCAAGTGCTGGAGGTACTAGAGCTCCTGCTGCTAGAAGATCTACACCTACTTCTGCAGCTGCCTCTTTCTTCTCGACTGGTTCAACGCGACTGCTCTTCGTTGAGTCAAGGGCACCTGAATCTGCGGCCTCCTGATCTACCTCAGTGTCCACCAGCATCGCACTGGAGCTGCTTCCATCGGCATCATCGAGGGCGCCGGCGTCGTCCTCTACACGTTTCTTGGAAAGGATTTCGGGCTCGCTGCTGCATTTTGCTAATGCTCCAGCAGCATGACGCGCCTCATCTGCGGACAATTCCAGTGCTGCATTGTGTCTGTCGTTGTTCTCCTTCCTATCCTGGTCCCGCTTTTCGATTTCGGTTTCGAAATCAACAATACTAGAATCTCCATCAAGATCTTGATGCGTCACTGCCAGGTCTATGGCATGCTTCTCTAGATCCAGTTTATCGCCAGAGTCAAGGTGCTCGAGCTCATCATGGTCTCCATCCACGTCACACTCCACTTCGAATTCTTGCTCCTCTTCTTCGGCGGCGACCACGACCACCTCTGCTGAGTCACAAATCATAGAAGGAGACGATAACTTGTTCTCTTCTGGCTTTTGCCCTTGTTCTCCGTCTTCGCATACCTCCATGGCCAGCTTGTCTTCGTTCTTGATGTTGTCGACACGAGGAGTACAACCAGCAGAGAGAGAAGAAGACCTAGTAGAGCTACTTTCTTCTTGCACTGCTTCTGCGTTCAGCTGCCCTCCTGCTTGCACATCCAGGACCGCACCGTGGTCCTCTCCCTCGCCGGACTGCCTTGAATAAACCTCGTCAGGTGAAGTAGACGTCCCTAGACCAGCAGCTCTCCTCTTGTTGTTCTCAACGCCCTCCTCTTGTTGTTCGTGCTCTAGTACGTCGAAGTTTTGCTCCAATCTCTCTAAGGATTTCTTCATGCGCTCAATCTTCCGACTCGCTTTTTTATCCAAGTGACGCTGCTTTCTGAGCTTTTTCGCTTTTCTTCTCTCCTTTCGGGATAGTTTCTCTTCATTGAGCTGCAGATCCTTCCGATCTCCACTTCCCCTAGCTGTTCGATCAAGCTCACTTAGCTGCAGATCCTTCCGATCTCCACTTCCCCTAGCTGTTCGCTCGCGCTTGCGGTCATTTTTCCTCGTACGCTTAATATCCTTATCCTTCCGAGACGACTTTGACTTTGACGATCGGTCCTTCTTTCGCCTCGTCTTGCCGCCGTCTCGTCTTGCTGGGCTGTCAATCCCCGTCGTAGTACTACCAGGGACCAGATGCTCACCATCAGAGTCATCGCTCTCCCCCTCGACGGGGGCAGCAGCCTTACCAGATATTTCATCAACATCCGCACGACGAGCAAGAGTCTCGTCTGTAGCCTCATGTCCATGGTCGCGTGCATGATCTTTCTTCTTTTTCTTGTCCTTTTTGCTGCGTTTGCTGCGGTGTCGAGGACTCTCCTGACTGGCTTCGTCGGGGGCGTCTTCATGACTAGTATTTTGTCGACGTCGCTTTTTGTTCTTTGCCTCACAACTGCAATCGACGTTCTTGTCCTCAACCATCAGCAAGGACTTTCTACGCTTGCTCCCTTTCCTTTCCTTCTTTTGCGGTGATGTCCCGTTGAAGGTTCTTACGTCTTCAGGCAGCTGCAAATGATCTTCAACGCAGGTACTGCTCCGCAAGTTCTTTGCTGCAGACGAGGAGGTCTCTTCTTCTTCTTCCTCCTCTCTTATCGGGGCATCGGCGGCTTTTCTACGAGCCCTCAACATTTCTTTTTCTTGTCGCCGTTGAAGTTTTCTTATGCGGCGTCTGGCCTTCTTCGATGACATCGACTTCGCTGAAGAAGAGACTTTGTCGTGGTCTTTGCGGACTTTCCTATCGTCGTCTCTGTTACGATCCTTCTGCTTTCGCTTGGATTTCGATTTCATTTCCTTTTTACTCCCTTTCCGTTTGTCGTTTTTCTTCATCTTCCTCTGTCGTGGCGATGAACAATCACTACGCGGCAAAAGAACCACTTCCTTGTTTTTGGCTAGAGGTGCGGCTGCGGGAGTAGAAAGCTCTGCAGAACTCTGCAGAGAAGACAATTCCTGAGAAACTCCACTGCTCTCGCCACCATAGCCACAAGAGTTGCGTAGTTTTGATGAAGATTCACTTCTAGTTCCCCATGATCGGCTGGAAGCTTGTCCTGAAGACTGTTGCGCTGAGAGTGCTCCTGATCGCACAGATAAAGCAACCCGGTTACTTGTTAGAGGCAATCCACTTCTCCTCGACCTCGAGCAAGACCCACCCTGTTGTAAGACTGCGAATGCAGCGCCAGGGCTCATCAGAGGAGAGGAATTTGAGTTCATGAAAAGATCCGCGAAAGTGCTATGTCGAGGCAAGAAGTCGATCTCTAAGGCAGGCATAGGAGTGTGCTCAGGTTCTTCGTCCTCTTCAGGCTCAGCAACAGGGGTTTGCTCACCAACAACTGACTCCTCGTGGAGGACTTTGTTTTCCCTTCCCTTTTCGGTAAGAGCTGGCTGTTGTTCTTCCACTACGTCTTTGTCGGACTTCAAAAGAGAGATGGTTTCACTAGGCTTTTCCGTCTCTACTCCAACGTCTTCTTGCTGTGCTTCTGCAGGAGATGCGTGATCGTTTTCGTTAATCTTTTCCAGCAAGAACGCTACTTCGTTTTTAACCGGGGCCCTTGCGTCGTCTCCAGCTTCCGCGATCTCATCACACCGTCGCACTATCTCCAAAGGGGCATCCTCATTTTCGTTTCTCTCGACTGGGTCACGATTCTCAGTCTCGTTTTCGACTTTAAGCTCCTCGGTCCTATCCACGACATTACGAGCTGCGTCACCATCAGCAACAATCCCTGCTGCAACCGAACTGCAACTTCCAGTACCTTTCTCTTCTAGTACATCACTGTCCCTGGTGTCAACCCTCTCCTCCAGTTCCTCGTCTTCCTCTTCTGGAATAACAAACATCGGCATACGACTGCCCACAGGGGTACCGATTTCGATTTCCAATGCCTCAATAGGAGATGGCGCATCTTTCCCGAGGAGGTATTGTAGTGCAAGCCCACTTCTAAAAGATGAGTCAGGTTGCTTCTCCTCAGCAACGGAAGCAGTTGGAAAGCTTGTTGTTGTATCGTCCTCTTGTGGTACTTGATGTTTCTCATTGATCCTAGGACGAGAGTCTGCTTTGTCCTCGGAAAGAGAATCTTCTTCCCCGTCAGCGGCAGTAGCAACGATCTCAGCAGCTGGCTGCTCTACAGCCGCTGAGACGAAGTGAGGTTCAGCCAGTGAGACGAAGTCAGGTTCAGCAGGAGATGACTCTAGCACAGCAGGCGGATCATTCCCAAGCGTAGCGGCAGAGTCCGGTTTCAAGGCTGCCTCAGCAGCTAGTACCTCAGAGACTGGTGCATCACCCAGCACCGAGTCTTCAAGTTTCATCACAGCAGAATCATCAAGTACCAACTGGACTGAAACTGACTCAACTGGAGACGAGTCAATCTTCGAATCCCGTAGTTCTACAGGTGAATCTTCGAAACCTGTGCTGGATTCTGGATCCTCATTCAAATGGACTGAGACCTCCTTCGTCGATAGGACAGGATCATCTTCTACTTCGACAGATGCTTCGGCCTCAGCTAGCTGCTCACCCAGAAACTCTTCCTTCGCCAAAGTTAGAACTGTAACGGAAATCAATCTTCAGCAGCATCTTGGGTCTCGTCCTTTTCCCTTTAAAAATGGGACCAAGATGACAGTCTGAAAATGGGAGATTTCTTGTACCCTTAACAAAGGTACATCCTCAGCCAGGATGAAGCCGGGCTCAGTCGCAGTCACCAAGTCTCCTTTCGTAATAGAATCGACAGACGGGTCTTTGACTGGAGCATCATCCTCTTCATCTGGCTCAGGCAGAGGATCATAATCTCCAGTAGCAACAATCTTCATTGATACGTCGCAGTCTTGCTTAGCAGGAGTGCTGGAGTCAACAGCATGATTAGCTGTAACAGGAACCTGCTCTACTTCAGCTACAGCAACATCCTTGGTTACAGGAGCCGATGCCGCCAAAGCTGCAACAAGAGGAAGTTCCTCATGAGTCTTGCTCACGTCGGGAACGACGTCGTCTTTTTCCCCGTCAATACTCTCATCGCTAGAACTAGACGAACTCGAGCTACTCGATGAGATGCTGCTTCTTCGAGGCACTGTATTCGCTGGAGGAAGAGAAGACAAGGATGTTGTGGTAGCGATAGGGACAGCGCCTACTTCATTTTTCATTGCCATTGCCTCTGGCGAATTCCGTCTACTCAGGACCTTCTTAGGTGTAGGAGACAGGAGACTGATATTGGCTGCGAGAGAGTCTATTTCTTGCTTGTCGAACAAAGGTGAACCCGCAGCCGCAACAGGAGGAGGAGCGTCAATCACTAGACGATCTCCCTCATATCGCCTGTTCGCAGCACTACTAGTTGTACTAGGCAATTCTACAACTTCGCTGCTTCTAAACAATGTTAATGCACCTCCAACTACTTGCTGCATGTCAACATTCGCAGCGCTATCCTCGTTCGGCGATGGCGAACCAGAGCTAGAGTAAGAGGAATCTGGACTAGCATCCTCACCAGCACTGGATCTTGATGGGCGTCCAAGTGCCACCACAGGAGGCTTACGAAGTCTGAGTAAAATATCATTGAAGTTTCCACTGCCAGTGGTTGCAGTGATTGTGATATCTTGTTTGTTAGGTTGCTCTACTTCTGCTGCTGTTGCTGGTACTGGTACAGAAGGAGCACTGGGTCCTCTGCTTCGTGTTGTAGTGCAGTCCCCGAATATTACAGCTGCTGCTGGTCTTGGTGCCACGTCTTTTGGAACATCAGCAACACTCGCATTGCGCGTGCAGCCGACAGGCTTCGCCACGCCATCTGCTAGCAGATTTTGCTTCTTCAGAGCAAAGACGTCTGCATTCTTGTTATCCTCCATTCCGCCGCCGCGGCCGGTGTCTACTCCATTTACGACTTGCACGACTAGTGCTTTCGGGACTCTATCTACTGGGCTGTTGTTCTCGTGTACAACATGTAGTCCATATTCGTTCACTTGCGCACTATGATCTGCTTCAGACGAAGCTGAAGACCCATTGGGAGACGATGGAGCTCTCGATGTGCTACAATTTCTATAGTTCGGAGAAGTTCCAGTACTATTTGATTTTGTCGTCTTCTCCCTTTGATGTTCGGTACTGGATGTTGTTGAGGTTGTCCCTTCGTCTCTGGAGGCACTGGATGAGGTATCGCGCTCTTCGTCGTCATCACACCTTGACGCCATAGAGCACATGCGTTTCTCGGCATCAACTCTTGGTGGCCTGCTTGGGCTAAAGTGAGGGTCTTTGACCAAACAGATCTCAGAGACAATCCTCTGCTGTGGAATTGGAAGTTGTGACTCGTCTCCGTCTTCTTTCGATTTCGAGGGTACAACTAATTTATTCTTGAGTAACGGCCCTTTCCGCTGTGGTTTCTCTCGCTCCTCATTTCTATCGCAAGCCGGCAATGGTATATCACTGACGGGGGACTGCCGAAACGAGCAAAGCTGCTCCTTTGCCACATCACCTTCGCGAGAGGACAGTACTTTCTCAACACCATCGCTGGAATTAGTGTCCTTGTGGTCCTCCTTCTCCTCTTGTTGTCTCAAATCTTCTGCCATACGTGAAAGCAAGCAACTTCGCCAATGGTCCACCAACTCCATGTTCAAAGCCAGGTCGCCCACGTCAGCAACTATGGGTAAGAAGTCAAACTTCTGGATGTTTTTTTCTTGTTCTTGCTGCCGTGCGTCGTTCATCTTTTTACCAAGGTTCTTGACACCGTCCTTGTCCTTGTTTTCTTCGTCCTTCAATTTCTGCTCGAGTTTAAGCTCCAGAGGGGTGCTAAGATATTGATTTCCAGGTGTCGCTGGATACCACAATGCCTGCTCCTTGGCATTTCCCTCATGTAAAAGGATGTAGGCGTCTCTCTTGCCATTCTCGTGCTTTAACAATTCATCCAAAATGTTTGCGTTGCACTCGGTGCTATGCACTAAACGAATGTACGCTTTGCCAAAACGGTCCCACAGTAGCCGTTGGACTTCATCGAAAAAACAAAAAAAAAGGTGGTGATTTTTCAACGTTGGTAAGTACAGGTGGATCGGAATAGCCTTGGGGGCTTGGTTGTCTCCGGCGAGGTTATTACACCCGTCGACATCCGGATACTTTTCGTGAAAGAACAGAGCTGCTAAGAAATCAGCCAAAGCTAGGGGTCCATGGCCTAGGTTTTCCCTTGGTGTAAGTGGTTTACGAGAAGGCGTCCTTTTGCAAGTTGAGACATCCGAGTTCGGACTTCCTAATGAGGATGAGGAACCATCAGCAAAGGAATCGTTTTCCACTTGCTCACACAGAGCTAGACGTTCGGCTCTTGCAACATCTTCGACCTGAAGGTTGGTTGGTCCAAACTTCAAAAAATTGGTTGGTTGACCTGGAAGTGGAAACAAAATCAAAATGTAAATTTATGAATAACCGCTTCTAAACCAGACCGGTAGGAACAAGCTAGAACAAGAAATACCGGGAACATACTTACAACTGTAAAATAGAAAAGAGAAATTTATGTCGCACGAAGCAGTACCGTGCTCGCCATTCTGCCCAGCACCCTCGTATCCCGGAAGTCAAAGACGCGAACGCAGCCAGGCGCAAGGTGCAGATATCGGGCTATGCTGCTGAGAGATGTTTCGTCTAGCTCAGCATTGGACGAGAAGTCTAATTCGCTGACGTGAATACCCCAGACGTGGAGGAGAATTAGAGACCAAGAAAATAAAGCAACAAGTATTGATGTGCTGTCGTCTTTGAAGCCGATGATCGACTGCAGAGAGAATTATGAGAATCTGCTAGTAGATCAAGATCCCACTGTCTGAGTATTTAATGTAAGTAAAAGTACTCATTCAGATTCACCACGACATCATCTTGAGCCTTAACACTGACAGCCACTTTATCAAGGATCCATGCGAAACGTGGCAGCTTTGAAGAGAAAACTTTCGCAAGCAAAAGCTGGGCTTAGCATCATGCTTGACGAGAGGAATTTCGATAGAATGTTTTTTCTCTCGACCAGCACCTGGTAGTTGAGGAATGCTTTTTTCAGTATTCGTCTTACTCGAGCTACGGCCTGCGGAGTTATTTGGATATGCACCTCGCTCTACAACGACATCTAGCAATTCTCGTTCGACGAAGGTGGATCTGGCGGCTAGAGATGAGGCGTCGTGATCGTCAGTAACTGTAGTTGTCCTCCAATGATTTCCTCGTCGCTCAATCTCCCGCATTAAATGCCGTACTCTGCCGCTTCGTCGCGCATCTTCCTCAACGAAACGACTAGAGATCCACGTCAAGACCACCAGCATGAGGTAACCATCACCCGATGAAGCGCCGAAGTGAGTGAGCACTAAGTCTTCTTGCTTCCTGGATGCAGGTTGTTGCTGCGAGCTGAAGTGTCATTGTTAAGCAGGATTTGCGAGCATTAGCTTGTTTCATCTAATAGATATAAGTAAGATGATGCGACTTTTCCAACAAGAGATTTGCAGTCTTATGTCTTCACAAGGTCTAAACTCTGCTAAAAGGGGGAGTGGAATACTTCTCATTGGCCCCCATGCTAAGTGGAGCAATCCCTGGATGTCGTTCACGACGCAGAGCACGGACTTTGACGCAATGCAAAGTGACATACTGCAACAGCTCGGGGCACATTGCTCGAATCTGCAACAAGTCCAAGCTGCGACGAGGGGGAAAAGCGAAAGTCTCCAAAAGGGCTGTGCGTTCCTGTTCAGACGCAAAGATGCTCAACCATGACCGAGGTCTCTCAGGGTCAATCAGCGGATGTGTAGCAGGTCGTCCTCCTCCGGCAGTTGATATCGAAGATATCTCTGTTGAATATATTAGAGGTAGCTTTATTTTGCTGTTCGCTCTCCCCGTTTGTTATGCCTCTCTCCCTTAAGAGCGGCAAAACAAGCGGCAACGTGGTGAACGCCTTTAACCTGCCCTTAAAAATACTGGAGGTGCTGGGGAAGCATCTTTAGATGCTGCTTGCTCCAGCTTCTTTCTAGATACCTGGACTGCTGCTGCTTTTGATTGCGCCTGTGGCAATTGCGCACCAATAAAAGCCGAATGCGTGGAGGCGTAGGGTAGAGCGAAATTGGATAAAGCGGTACATGCTCCTGGTCGTGACGATGAAGGAGTTGCTGTTGCTGTTGCTGCAAGCGCCGGCGAGACTAAAGATGAAGGTGACATTCTCGCTGCAACAGGACCAGTAGACCCTACTAGTAGGCCTAATGATTGATGTGCAGCAGGTCCTCTCTGCGACGTTCTGTTGCTGCCTAGTAACGTTCTGTTGCTGCCTAACGAAGTAGGCGTGTCGAAACGAGAACAGCGCGTCCTCCTCTCATGATACTCCGGCTCGAAGTTACTTCTCCTAATAAAGCCTCCACCGCGAGGACCATCCGAGGTTGAAGCGAGTAGGGCACTCGGACTTGGTGGAAATCGACTTCTCGTTGTTGTACTAGGTGGAACTACCCATGCGCTTGATTGCTGATGATACTGTGTCATTGGAATAGGCCCTCCTCTTCTCTCAATGTTGTAAATGTAGTTGTTTGAAGAAGATCTACAAGAGGGAGATGTGGGAGAATCTTGTTTGTAATTCTTGTCTGTTCTGCCTTTGTGGGACCCCGCGAAATTCTGGTGCAATTTATGGTCTTTGTCCCTGTCTGCGACTCCTGGATGTTTCTTCTGATTCTCACGTCGTTCCCTGGATAGGCTTCGGTTCCTTCGTCTTCGAGAACGCGAAAGTGAACGTGAGAGAGGACGTTGACGTTGACGTGGGCTTGATGAAGGTTGGCCTACAGCTGCTGAGCGCGGAGGTGAACGTTGGCCTACACGCGGAGGTGAACGTTGACCCACACGCGGAGGTGAGCGTTGGCCTACACGCGGAGGTGAACGTTGGCCTCCACGCGGAGGTGAACGTTGGCCTCCACGCGGAGGTGAGCGTTGACCTACAGCTACTGAACGCGGAGGTGAGCGTTGGCCTACACGCAGACGAGATGATTGTTGTTGACGCACCCGCAGAGGTGAACGTTGCCCTCCACGCGGAGGTGAATGTTGACGCGGTACACGGCAGCCACGGGGTATTGACTTTGAAGATTTCCTAGACCTCGACCTTGAGTTCTTCATCTGGCTAGTTGACCGTGGGATACTAGTAGACTTCTCTATTGCTGGTGAAATTGGCCTTCTTGACAGCCTACTAGTACTGCTACTTGTTCTTGCACCTGCAGATGATGCTCCTGATACAGATTCGAGACTCATACGCCATGCTTTCTTCTTCTTCTTCTTCTTAATGCCACCTCTTTTTGTTTTTCGACTTTTGCTTTGCAAGTACTCGCAAAGTCTCCGTTTCTCATAGAGGGATAGTCCAACTCTCGTGTGTAGTCCGCATCGCTCTGGTAGGTCTTCGACAGAAGCTCCACCGTTTACAACTAGTAATGGCACTGCA